TTTAATTGACATGCTCGAATGCGTAATTAGCATGGAGGTTTCTTCTCTCTCTTTTACAAATGTGTGGCTCGGTGGAAATATATAGGTCGTCGCTATTGCTTCTGCTCTCTCATCGTAAGTGTCAATTATTCCGATTGCATCGCATTTGGACTTGATCCAATCTCGGTTATGGTTTGTTCCATACTTGTCAGAACTGACGTATGTATGTGTCTTGAACACAGGTATAATTACATAATTATTGTGCCGATCTGATGACGGAATAATGAAATTAAAAATTCATGAGATATTATTTTAGTTTATTTTTCATTTAAAAAAATTGCAAGCGAGTTTTAATGAAAATCATGTGTACATTTTTTTATACGTTTAAAAATTTGTTACAAGCTAAAGCATTTCCAATTCCTCCTTAATCTAAATTAGCTTAAATATTTTCTTATAAACTAAAATCTTAAAGAAGATCCGGACAAGTGTATTGCTCTCTATCCTGAAAGATTTCTAAAATTTCGAGTACATATATCTTGTGAAAAACCTATTTGAAAATTCCAAACCGTTGCGTCTCAATCAAAAGAAAACCTAAATACGAGTGATTCGCGCGAAAAACGTGTGAGAATTGAGGAGCCAATCAGATCCATCAGTCCAAAAACTACAGAATTTGGTCACATTGGCGCTGCGATCGCTGATTTTGCCAAGTTTTCTGCAGCGCCGTGGAGCATTAGTGGCAAAATCAGCGATCGCAGCGCCAATGTGACCAAATTCTGTACTTTTTGGAACAAACTGATGGATCTGATTGGCTACTCAATTCTCACACGTTTTTCGCGCGAATCCACTCGTTTTTAGGTTTTCTTTTGATTGAGACGCAACGGTTTGGAATTTTCAAATAGTGTTTTCACAAGATATAATCGAAATTTAGCAATCCTTCAGAATAGAGACCAATACAATTGACCGGAGAGGATCTTTAAAGTTAGCAAAAGTTTTTAATTTCCTTTCTTTATCAATGACTTTGAAAATGAAGTCTTGTTTAGCAAAATTTTAGAATGGATGAAACGATCTTAACATAATTTATTTTATTGTAAATTAAGATTTTCATTTAATTAAATTAAGAAAAATGTTTACACAATATTACAATTTTATACAAACACTACTTTTTTTCAATCATTCTACTCGAAAATAAATCATGATGATTGCGAGTCACGACATATAGTGCTGTTAAGAAAATTTTTGAGCCCACACGCAAGAAATGTAGAGCAATAATTTATGTGCCTGTCGTGTTAAAAGCACTTTTCGCCGCGCCACAGAAGACACACATTCAATTTCACAAAACATTGTGTAAATTAATTGCGGCTAAAAGCGTGTGTGCGAGTTGGCGTTCGCCTGTCGCTTCGGAGGAAAAATGTGTTGCAAACTCCTCCCGAGAACGTGTCTGGATTTCTGCAAAAACATAAAACACACACGCTGCTGCGAAAACAATTCATTTCCAAGTCGTTCGACACCCGCCGTTCCTCAGCACGATTAATTATGAAAAAATACGCGTGTATTTTTCAATTTCCGCAATTGCAGCACCGCGAAGAATTCCCCGAGTCGTTTTTCACTTTCGTTGACACCGACCGATGTTCTCTCTCGCGCTCGGAAAATCGTTTCGTTAATTTGCTCATCTCGTTTTCCGTGAAACAATTTGCACGGCTGATGCAGATGGCAATAAAAGCAATAATGCACCCCAACGGACAGCTATGGCAGCAATAAAAGTAATAGGATGACGAATGCGGGTTGGAGGTGCAATAAAAATAAAAGTGAGTAAACGAGAGAGAGGTGGAATGACATAAAACGGCGAAAGTGCATGGATAAATAAAATAGCTTAGCCGTTTTTACTGTTAATAAATGAGAAAAATGTTGTAAGCTCAAGTTATAATAATGAACTTTTAATATTTAATTATTAAAATATTATTACATTTCTTTTAAAAATTTCTTATTTACCATTTTAGTTAATTAAATTTTTAAAATTTAAACTTTTTTTTAAATATAATAATAATCTCTATCAATATTGTTAGTAAGCATTGTTCACAGATGCATGTCTCCGCACAAAAATTGTAATGAATAAAAATTAATTAATTATATATTAATTTTTAATTCATTCATGTGGATCACAAGTTATGATTAATGATGTCTATGAATAGGACTGACTCTCTTGAGAATATGGCTGTAACAGATTATTATAAGCTTAAATTATTTCTATAATAATTATATTTTAACAAATTTATCAGAAATGCATAATACATTAATTGGTAATTTAATTTTGAATTATTAAAAGCTGCAATAATATTTGTTAATTTAATTGTCAGTATGGACATCCCAGCTCAATAAAATCCCTACGCATATTGTTTAGTTGAAATATACTCACTTAAAAATTTAAGATACATTTTGTTTACTCAGGGTTTTACTCGGCACTTCCCTTTATGTATCTAATTATTATTTTTATATCTTTTTTCTTTGCTTGCATTAAGATTGTCTGATACTAATTTCAGCAATGTTGGATTATTATTATTATTTTTTTCTTAAACGATTTTTGCTTTATCAAACTAGCCATGAAAAAAGTACAAAAGTACGTTAGCTAGTTTGAAGTGAAAAATTCCTAAAAGTTCAATTCTCTGCTCATTTCGAGTTCCTCGCCAGTCGTTCACTTTCATTCACGCATTTGATTGTCCTGAAACTTTTTGCCCTCGCCGGATTCTCCTCGCTTTTTCCTTCAAGATTGGATTCTCAACGGTCCAGTTAGTCTCTCTCTCTCTCTCCGATTCGAATGCGTCATGCAACACTAGCCCGACTATCCGGCGCATTGTCCCTTTCGAGTCCAGTTTGCCCCCGCGCGCGCTGCCTCGAATAAATCTTTCCTGGAGTGACACGCGGATGTGACAGATCATGGTCGCGCCACCATAAATTAAAAGCCGCATGCTCCGATGCTTTTCTCGAAATGTTGTGTCTGCGACTTTTCTTATAATTCTCGATCAATGAGGAAAAAATAAAAATGGGGAAACACGAAATGTGCATTAATGAGCGCTGCTCGGCGCTGTCAAGTTGCAAAATTTCAGAAAAAGTTCATGAAATGTTTAAAGTGGAGAAGCGGTCACGACTGAATAATTGAAATTCAATTGCTGGCTGGGCGAATTGCAAATGAGCGCGCCAGAGTTAACGGCCTGGGTGGAGTGATTGACTCTCGCGGCGGATTGCGTGATCTTTCTTGTTCTTTCTCTCGGTGCTTTTTATTATTCACGTGTGGATTATTTGCGTGCGCTCAAGTTAGTCTCTTCCTGAAGTGCGATGCAATAAAATAACGAGAGATGCTGGTGCCGTATGCGCCGTGGACGCTGCTGCTTTTATGACGGGACAGCGACGCGCGGCCGCCGACTCCCCGCCGCGAGAGTTGGCCAAGCAGCGGCTCGCTATCTTCAAGTAGATTCTCACTGATAATGCAACCTACTACAAGCGAGATGAGCAGATGCATTGTGTGTGTGCTTTTGCACAATTCGCTGCTCTTCAGGAAAGCGAGAGTTTGTTGAACCATTAAGTGTGGAATCCGGACAAGACAATTTTAGATCGGCAATAAATCACTCTCAGATGGCAATTAAAATAAATAAAACATATGAAGATTTCAAAGGCATTTATTTTCATGGTCTTGCACAATAAAAACGCCTATAAAACACAAGAAATTCCATGCAAATTTTATAAAATATTTTTCACATACGTATTATTTTGAATATTTTGGTGGCAAAAAAAAAATACCGTCCAAAGATTAATTAATAACAATTTATTTTTTAAAATGTTTTATGCCTTAGATAAGTCAATTTTTTTATGATGGGATGAGAAATCTTAATCTTGTAAATAAAAATTTAAATTAAAAATTGACCTTTTTTAATTTGCTCATTATTTAAATATATGCAGGAATGTCATTTTCCTTATTTATTGTAATATCTCTTATTTTGTTATTATTAAAATCCGTTTTGTTTTTTAATATAGATAATTTTTTCAACAAGGACAGAATCCATCAGAATCCCATAAGAAAAGTTTTTTAAAAATATAGCTACTAATACTATACTATAGAGAACAAATATATACTATTAACTAATTGATCATAAATAATAAATTTTTTAGTGGCGATCGCTTCTGCTAATTTTGTCCATAGAGTTTACAAACTTTTAGGAATTAATTATAAAAGAAAAATAACTAAAAATAATTTAAGTAAAAATATGCTAAGAAGAAAATAATAAATTTAAAAATATCTGAAAAATCCATAATTTAAAACAGTTTAATATTTAAAGAGTTGTTTTCTTTTAATTTTATGTTAAATACATATATGACTGTACTTAATGCAGCTATTTACAAGACAAATTTTAGGGCTTGTTTAAAGAAATTGACACTTGACACGCAAGGAGATGATCATGGAAGTAAAGAAATAGGGCTTTTTCCTCGTTCTAAAAATTACTTGTACTCAAAGAGCAGATTTCTTTACTTCCAAATTTAATAGTTCTTAACTACATATTAAATAGGTTTATTATAAAAATAATTGCAATTCATCAAACTTAAATAGTTGAAAATTTATTTCTGAATTTTAAAACATTCAATTATTATGTAATTAAAATCCATGTAATTAACTAAATTAAATTAAACATTTCATATTTTTTCAATGGTATACATGAAAACTGACTAAATAAGATATCATGTAAACAAGTAATTATTTATAACTTATGCGGCCTGAAGGCTAATTAATTGATCACTTAAATATTTACTTAGGAAAAGGAGCAATTTCCCTTTCTCGCTCTTCTCATACTTGCCATAGAAGTCAAAACATTTCAACAAAAAAACAATTGAGTCAAAAGTTGCTTTCTTTCTTTCTTTCTTTCTCCCTTTCTTTCACATCATTAAAATTAGTTCCTGCAGCAGCAAAGCACTTAAACTTTCGACCGATTACATTAGAGTCGTAAATCAATTAAAATTTCCTCGTGTGCTTGCAGAGGTCGGAGGTCAGAATGGCGGCCGTGCGCCGAGAGCCCACGGACAATGACCGCAGCTTCTCCGACGACGAGAGCTCCCCGTTGAACAATGACATCTACAACGGAAGGTAAGTTTCCACCCTTCAGGGGCCATTGTTAATTTTGTTTATATTGCGTGACGATTGAAAACACACTCGGCCGCCGAGAATTTAATTCTACGTTTCTTTCCTCGCCACTCGGCGATTAATTGGATATCATAATTCAACATGCACAATGGGAACTTTCTTTCTTTATTTCCTTTGCTGCGGGACGGGACACGTCAAAAGAGACAGGACTACAAGTTTCGAATGTGCTTTTTATGCATTATAAAGTGTTATTCAATCCCGTGTGCGTTTTTTTAAGGAAATACGAAGAGAAAGAAAGTAGCACACGCATGAAGTCTTATCGTCCAGCGCTCCTTTTATTTCTGTGGGAGCAACTCGAGAAAAGCCGGCGTTTCATTTCAATCAGTTGAATATATAAAGAATATATATTTTATTTTTACTACTTTTATCGCCTGTCTCCCATCTGAATGTTAAGAGTGAGTCTTTTTGTGTGGCCGGACAGAGTGAAATGCAATCGGAAAGAAAGTAACAATTCAATTAATTGCACGACCTTTTCCATTCAAATGCGTTTTCATCAGATATGAATATGAGAGAATTATTATCAGCAGAGGCCTACATTTTTTATTTTTTATTAATATAAGCGGTGCAAGTAGAGTTACTAGAGTTACATTCACCGTGTGTTGGCGATTTCTTTTCAAAGCAGAGCGCTCTCGATAAGGAGCATTTACACTTTTATGGCCGCGCTCGAACGGTCGCAACACGCGTCGTAAATGGACCTCGTTAGAAAAGTAACAAACGGACTTTGAGAGATACTTTTATGAAAAAAAGAGAGTCGATTTTCACCAGAGAGGTCAAACTAATGGTGATCAATATTTTGACGGAGTTACGACCAATTTTATTTGAAAGTTCAACTTACACGAGTCATGAAAAGCCACGCAGACGTGGCAATAAATAATTTTTATTTGACATTCACGGAATGAGAGGCATCGGAGGAGGTCGGAAAATGAAGAAATCAATCATGTTTATCAATTTTCTTTAAAATTTATTGTCTATTGCTTGGCGGTAATTCTTCATGCATAATAATATGTACCTGTTATAAGAGAGCTAAAAATTAATGGCCTTTTTCAAACTCAGTTGTGAATCAAAGCAGAACGGACATGAGATCAATGACATATTCTATTTTTTACACGTTCTATTATCACTTCATATTTAATATCCAATCACCATTTTCATTTTGTTAAAAAAAAAATTAAACATCAAATTTAATTTTAATTTACTCGTATTAAAAAATGTAAAATTTGAGATTTGAGATGCTTTATAAAATAAAACATAAATTGTAAAAAAAAATGCAGGTTTCTAGGTTCTGTGGGAAGCACTTTGAAGAAATTAATTTTCCGCCCATTCGGCAACCACCGATCATTGCGCAACGACCGACTCAATTCAATTAGACACGAAAATTTATTACACACATGTGAACGGATCGCTTTTATTACGGTTTCATTGCACCGATTGCTCAACTCGCCGGGATTTATGATGCGAATTAATGCGAGTAAGTTTTTTTTCAATGCACCAAACCATACAGTGGAATAAAGTGAAATGATCCGCGAAATAAACCAAGTGGAATTCACACTCCAATTACCGCGTGCGAATTGGAAAAGTAGGCATATCGACGCACTCGTTATTTTTTACTGAAGATTTTGTGCTGTGCGCAAAAGAAATGTAATACTTTAGCAGCTGCGCGGAGGAGGAGGAGGAGAAATTACTTTTACTGCTGCTCAATCGTGACGGAATGATAGCAAAATAAAAGAGCCGCTGCTCGTCTAGGCCGCCCTCGTGATCTAGAAACGCTTTCTCCGATATGGGTTAATGCATTCTATAGCTGCCGACAACAGTGCCTCTGTTTAATTAACGCCAAGAACAAACACGCGGCTGCTATTTAGAATTGGTACAGAGCAGATTGACGCGGCGTGTGAAAAAAATTGCTGGAAAGATGCCTCCGCATGAGAATCTGTTTCACATCAGCAGACAATGCCTGGAACTCCGATGTGTGTTAAGCGCCTTCTTCTCATCTTTTGATAAAGTGTCTTTTTAAGATCACGCGCGCCTCACGTAACTCGCATTAAGGATTTCTGGAGCTATTTTGCTATTTTTCTTTCTTTTTGATGGCATAAATGTGTTTTCTTTTTTGGTTTTATTAAATCAAGAGAGAATTAAAATAAAAAAATTTGATATAATGATTTCCATTTTAAGGAAAAATCCACAATTTAATCAATGAAATAAGTGCTATTTAAATAATTTTACTATTTTACCAGTACAATATACAAAATAATTATGCAAAGACTACTAATTATTAAACAAATTACAAGAAACTTTAAAATAACAAATTAAATAATTTGAAAACAAATAGCATGTTTTAAAATTTAAAAAACATTTATTTTAAATTCATTTTAAATATTAAATGTAATTTTAAATAAAATTTTTATTTTATAGGCGTCAATGTTGAATTAATTGCCATATTTCAGCCATTCTAGAAGCATAGCACTTTCCAAAAACATAACATAGCTGAACCAATTCGTTGAATCACCAATAATTAACAGCTTGAAAGCTACAATTAATCAACTTATAATTCCATTCAATTAAATTACAACACACTTGATTAACGGCCTCCTCTTCCAGCAGCAATAATCATTATTGATTCAACATAATTTCAACCCAAGGTTGTCTTATAATATTCAACAAAAGCGAGAAAATCAATATCAAGAGTGTCCGAGAAAAATGATTGCTCTCTCCATCACGCGTAGAGCAAAAAATATCGAATTCCGCTCCATTGGGAATGGGCTCTGGGCGCGGCTTTTGCTATTAAAGACACTTTCTCCTCGCGAGTCTGTCTCACGACGCTGCTGCCGCATAATAACATTCCGTGAGCTTATTAAAAGTAGCAGTGTGTGTGTCTTTCACTGTCCGTTGGCCGCCGGTCTGCGGGCGGGCGGACGGGGGCGGCAGAAATCACAGCCAGAGAGAGTTGAGTTGTTGTTGCTCTAACAGCGGCCGCGAGCAAAACGCGGGCACGTGAATACAAGAAAGCGATTTGCTCCAATTTTGACCGCGATAATTTCTTATACACAATATCCATCTGATCGAATGAAACGGCAAAATTTTCTTGTGGCTCATTAATCATCGTCGGAAAAGTTTCGAAACTTCTCCAAGACGTGACCGACAACGAGAGAGAGAGAGAGAATTAACTCTTAAATGAGTTTACGGAATCCGCCTTCGCCGTCTTTTATGCTCTTTTAATTAAAACTCTCACGTTAATGTGCGCGAGATTCTCTACAAAATCTTAAAAAGTAGCTAAATTTTTCTCTTCTTCGTTTCTTATTTCCCACAATTTCCTCTTGTGGTTTTCGATTTGCATAATTCGTTTCACTTTTAAAAACTATAATTATTCACTAAAACTGACCAACTGCAAAAATTATGCAACTCTGCAAAGCTGCTCTGACCAGCAGGTTGCATATTTTCAATTATTTCAGTTAATTCAAAACTACGCGGATTCAGGTTATATTTTAGATAATTCATTCTAGTGATAATGAAAGTAAAACGCATTTGAAACTGGTTTGATTGACGGCCAAGATTAAACCAATTACGACACAAGACCTCTGGCCTGTCAGAAAAGATTTTCGCTTGGCCAACGCCTCGCTGAGTGATTTTGATTTCACGCATAAATTAATGTCACCTCTCATCTCACAGCCTAACAATTAAGAAACCGATTTTTAAAAGTTTGATATTGATGAAAACTTGCATTGTTTTACGTATTTTTCTTTTCTTGCTTTTACAGTCGGACGGAGCAGGCGGGATGGGACGTTTTCCGCGTGCTGCCCCCGGAGGCGGAAAGTGTCTCAACTGCAAACCAACAGTTCCTGGAGACCACCATCAAGGTCATCAAAGTTGTCGTTTACCTTCTGACCTTCATCATTGTGCTCACCTCCGGCGTCATCGCCAAGGGCTCCATCCTTTTCATGACATCGCAGCTCAGGCCGGACAAAACCATCCCCTATTGCAATGTCGACGTTGGTGAGTGACTTGAGAACTTGAAAAATTATTCAGATAAATTTAACGAAAAGTGATAAAATTTATTCCATTTTGATTTAACTTCGTAAATTTTAATAACATTGTGTTAAAAATTATGATATACTTATTTTTCTTCATTTTTTTTAGAAATTTTTATGAAACAATATAAAATAAATTTTAATGTTGAAACAAAAAAAAATTCATTTTTTCTGAATGCTTCGAAATTTATTGTGTTACAGGGCGTCAGAAGACTTTCACAGTGTCTGTGCCAGAAGAGGAAAGGGTTGCCTGGGCGTGGTGCATTTTCTTTGCTTACATTGTCCCTGAGGTGAGAATAATGAATTGCGCTCTCGGTCGAAGGGATGCGGCAACAAGTTACCGCAGACACAACTTACCTGACAAAGCGACACAAGCTACAAGCCGGTGCTATACAGATCACGTGATACACGTCACGTGACACATTTTTCTCAGCATATATTGGGACACAAGTTACACGCGGAAATTTTAAATCTGTATAAGTCAATCCTAAGCAATACTGAGAGTATATTAGCAAAAAATAGTTGTAATTCATGTATTAGTAACTCAATGAAAGCCTCAAACTTAGGAAACTTTTTATTTTAAAAAAATGATTTATTTTCTAAATCAAACTAAAACTTTGCCAACATGAAGCTCAACGCATTAATTTAAAAAGAATTGCAGAAATTACCGTGTTAATGCCAACAATTGATCAGCTAGGACCTAAGACAGAATTTACACTTTTCACTTAGCTAAAATTAAAAATTACCAATTTTGCCACCAGTTAGTTTAATTTCTTTGTCTCTTGTTCAATTTTTACGCTTCTTATCGTTAGCAGGAGATTTTATTAATTTTAATGTTTAATTGTTACAGCATCACATTGTTTACATTCAATTGTTAAAAACAATTTATCTGAAAAAAAAACTTAATTCTTGGACAAAACGGCACCATCACTAGCAAGGATTTTGCTTAAACTTCCGAGATCAAAAAGACTCCAGCATCCACTGCAGCGAGCTCTAAATTTTTAAATAGTAGTACTGCGTAAAAATTACTCTCTAGCGGCTTCATAAGGAAAATTTAATATATAATTACAGATGGATGTTAATTCAAAACAGATTATTGTTTCTAATGAAAATATTAAAGACAATTATAAAATTATGAGATTATTAGGATTGAAAATGAATGAAGTAGACAACTCAAATAATTATTGAAAAGTGAATTTTTAAATAAAATCAGCAAGAAGTTATTAAAATTGCATTTAAACTTCATTAAATTCAAAATTTATCATAAAACTGATCAATTTTGCTTTGCTTATTCAAAGTTTCGCGCTTGTAACTTGTGTCTAAATGAATTTTACAAAAAAAGGAGGGGCTTGTAGCTTCTGTCCTCCTCGTTTGTAAGGTGTGTCTGCGGTAACTTGTCTCCTACAACCCGGTCGAATTACGGCCTTGTGGCGTGTCTGATTGAAAAACACAATTTTGGTGCTCCGGATTAAATCTTTTTGAATATAACGAGATGATTAATTTTTTTCCATTGATTTGCCACGCCAATAATTTTTCGCAGATGGGAACTTTTATGCGTTCTGTGCGAATTTGCTTCTTCAAGTCGTGGAAGACGCCGCCCGGTCTAGATTTCTTCATAGTTTTCTTTGCCGAAACTTGCCATACAGTCGGACTGGCTCTGCTCATGTTTGCGGTGCTGCCCGACCTGGACGTCGTCAAAGGCGCCATGCTAACCAACTGCATGTGTATTGTCCCTGGAATTTTTGGTAAATTAATTAATTTTATGTTTAAATAAAAATTTCCAAAAATACGAAGTAATGCAATTTTTAAATAGGAATGTTGTCAAGAAGCAACAAAGAAACCAAACGATACGCCAAAGTGATTGTCGACATGCTGGCCATCGCCGCTCAAATCACTGGTCTGGTCGTTTGGCCCCTTGTTGAGGGCGACAAGAAACCCGGCGTGTGGCTCATTCCGGCCTCCGCTTTCCTCACTTCCGTCGGCTGGTGGGAAAATTACGCCAGCAGACAATCGCCAATTGGTACTATTTTCAGCCCTGGCACAAATTATAATTCATTTTAATACATTTCTTTTTAGCTTTTATGAAAGCCTTGGGCAGAGTGAAGGAGCGAATGAAGAGGACTCGTTACTTCACCTACATTTTCATGTCTGTGTGGAAAATGTTGGTCTTCTTTTGCTCGATGCTGTTAGTGTTGCACATGCGGGGCCAGTCGGTGCCCAACTTTTTCTCCATGTTCAAAACTGGATTCGCAGAGCACAAAATCACAATCAATGAGGTAAGATTTTTAAAAAATTAGAAATTATTTTGGAGACTTTAAATATATCCTTTGACGTGCCGCGTGCATGAATGGAATTGAGAGTAAAAGTGTTTGCCGCGGCGCCTCGACCGCAAATAGTGCTAATAGTGCTCTTACCGCCGACGGATCTGATGTCAACGCCGAGTTTGCTTTGCTTCTCAGGTGCGACCCGCGTCAACCTCAACGTTGTCTGACCTCGCCAATGCCATACCCACTGGAGAGACGACTGAAATCGACGCTGCCTACAACACCGCCTTCTACGTGCTGCTCATTCAAATTTGCGCCGCCTACATCTGCTACATTTTTGGTGAGTCAAAAAATAATAATTATAAGTTAATCGATGCCTCGTCAGCTTTGCTCCTCATATGGACAGTCAAGTTCTGCTTAAAAAAAATGTTTATTAGAATTTTTTTTAATTTAAATTTATTTTAATACTTTTGTTTTCAATGTGCGTTCCAGGCAAATTCGCTTGTAAAATCATGATCCAGGGCTTCAGCTACGCGTTCCCAGTCAACCTGACCATCCCTGTGTCGATTTCCCTGCTCATCGCTGCTTGCGGCTTACGCAATGGCGACCCCTGCTTTTTCCACAACTCCATCCCCGACTATTTGTTCTTCGACTCGCCCCCAGTGTATTTCCTCAACGAATTCATCACAGGAGAGGTGAAATGAAAAAAGAATAAAAATTTGTTAACAATAATTAATTAAATATCAATTTTTTCAAATAGCACGCGTGGGTCTGGCTGCTGTGGCTTTTGTCACAGACGTGGATTACGCTGCACATTTGGACACCAAAGTGCGAGCGTTTAGCGTCAACCGAGAAGCTGTTTGTGCTTCCCATGTACGATTCACTGCTGATTGATCAGTCTATGGGTATGAACAGGCGCAGAGATGACGAAGGTGACGTTAAAACTGAGGTAATAAATCAACTTATATTTTTGAAAATTTTGTATTTATAAATGATTATTTTGCGTTCAATTTTAAACCAGGATCTCGCTGAAATGATCAAGGAGGGCATGGACGAATATTATGAGACGATTTCTGTCCAAACCGAAGGCAGTGGCTCTACTCCCGGCAAACAGATCAAGTCTTCTGACAGCATTACCAGAATTTACGCTTGCGCCACAATGTGGCACGAAACGAAAGAGGAGATGATGGAAATGTTGAAATCTATCATGCGTCTTGATGAAGATCAGTCAGCCAGAAGAGTTGCACAAAAGTACCTCCGCATCGTGGACCCCGACTATTACGAATTCGAAAGTAAAAATTTTTAAATCATTTTTTTATTATTTTATATTAAATATTTTTTTGTTAATTTTAGCACACATTTTCTTCGACGACGCCTTTGAAATCAGTGACGATAACGACGATGAAAATGTTGTGAACAGATTTGTGAAATTGCTGATTGAGACCATCGACGAAGCTGCCACGCATGTTCACGAAACCACAATCAGGCTCAGGCCACCAAAGAAACTTCCCGCGCCCTACGGAGGACAACTTGTTTGGACCCTTCCCGGAAAGACCAAAATGATTGCTCACTTGAAGGACAAGTCCAAGATCAGGCACAGGAAGCGGTGGAGCCAGGTACATATTTTTTATTCAAAAAAATATTGATAAATTTATTATAAATATTTTATTAATAATTACATTGAATAAACTTTAGGTCATGTACATGTACTACCTTTTGGGCCACCGTTTGATGGAGTTGCCAATTTCGGTCGACCGCAAAGAAGTGATGGCCGAAAACACATATTTGCTCACTCTGGACGGAGACATTGATTTCCAGCCGTTAGCCGTCCAACTGCTGGTCGACTTGATGAAGAAAAATCGCAATCTGGGAGCTGCCTGTGGTCGTATTCACCCCGTCGGCTCAGGTAATTAACAAAATTTACGAAAAGTGGAATAAAAATTAAAATATAAATTTTAGGACCTATGGTGTGGTACCAAATGTTCGAGTACGCTATTGGCCATTGGCTGCAAAAGGCTACCGAACACATGATTGGGTGCGTCCTTTGTAGTCCTGGATGCTTTTCCCTCTTCAGAGGAAAGGCCCTTATGGACGACAATGTCATGCGCCGATACACGCAGCGTTCTGACGAGGCGCGCCATTACGTCCAATACGATCAAGGTAAATTCAATTCGCATTTAAAAATATTCAACTTTTTAACATTTTTTGTCCAGGGGAGGATCGTTGGCTGTGTACGTTGTTGCTGCAGAGAGGCTACCGAGTAGAATATTCAGCCGCCAGTGACGCTTACACGCACTGTCCCGAAGGCTTCAACGAGTTCTACCAGCAGCGTCGTCGTTGGGTTCCCTCAACTATGGCCAACATCATGGATCTGCTCGGCGACTACAAAAAGACCATCAAAGTCAATGACAACATTTCCCTCCCATATATTTCCTATCAGGTTTGATGGAAGGATTACTGAAAGAATATTTTTTTTGCTAATTTTAATTATCAGATGATGTTGATGGGAGGCACCATTCTTGGCCCTGGAACGATTTTCCTTATGTTGGTGGGTGCCTTTGTGGCTGCTTTCAAAATCGACAACTGGACCAGTTTCACCTACAACATCATTCCTATTCTATTCTTCATGTTGATCTGTTTCACCACAAAGTCAGAAGTTCAAGTAAACATTTTTTTTAAATAAATTAAAATATAATGATGTCATAAAAACATTGATTTTCAGTTATTTGTGGCGCAAATATTATCAACGGCGTATGCTCTGATTATGATGGCTGTGATCGTGGGTACAGCTCTGCAGTTGGGCGAGGACGGCATCGGTTCTCCGTCAGCTATATTCTTGATAGCAATGACAGGGTCGTTCTTAATAGCAGCGTTCTTGCATCCGCAAGAATTTTGGTGTATTGTTCCCGGAATCATTTACTTGCTGTCTATCCCGTCCATGTATCTTCTCCTTATCCTTTATTCGATCATCAACTTGAACGTCGTCTCCTGGGGAACACGTGAAGTCCAAACAAAGAAAACTAAAAAGGTAGGCGAGACTTTAAAAAATTACAATTATTATGTGTATAAAATAATAATTAAATTCAATTATGAATAAACTATTTGCTTGTTTAGGAAATGGAGCAAGAGAAAAAAGAAGCTGAGGAGGCCAAAAAGAAGGTCAAGCAAAATTCTTTGCTCAGCTTCCTTGGCAAAGGAAACGGTTCTGGAGACTCGGACGAAGGCGCCATTGAATTCTCTCTGGCCGGTCTTTTCAAAATCATCCTCTGCCAGCACCCAGCCAGCAGCAGTGAAAGGCAGCAGCTCACCAGGATCGCTGAGTCGCTTGACTCCCTCAGCAAGCGTTTGGAGAACATTGAAAGGTATGCACCACGCTTCACAGCTGTGCTACACAAGTTGCATAACTACTCAATATTCAGTTAGAACATCGCTGCTGACTAACTTATTTTTTGTTAAATTTGTAAATGTTAATTTCATTTTAAAAGGGTTGTTGATCCCCACAATATGCACGGAACGAGGCGCAGGTCAATCAGCAGAGGCGAAGGAAGTCACCATGGGGCTATTCCTGAGGACAAGGCCGAGGAGGACCAGAGCCATTCCGAAGGCGAGGATGAATCCGAGGGAACAGGAGGTGCACTATTTTTTTTATAGAGTGGTGCAGTGTCTTAAAATTTAGATCGTGTTCCAGAGCCAAAAGAAAAGAGAGACGATCTGGTCAATCCCTACTGGATGGAAGATCACGACCTCAGGCATGGCGAGGTCGATTTCATGACTAAGGCCGAGGAAAGCTTCTGGAAAGACTTGATCGCCAAATACCTTTACCCCATTGACGCTAACAAAGAGGAGCAGGTCTGCATTTCATTTAACAAAAAACAAAAAAAAATTTTGTTCACTCCATTTGTTTACTGTTTACTGTTTTTGTTCTTTAATTTTTTTCCAAACCAAAAGTCACTTTGTGTTCATTTTGTTTATTCAGTCTTCTTTAATAATTTAATTAATATTTGTCAGCACAATTTATTCCCAAATTCGTTGCAAATCTTCAGTGTGTGAATGTTGTGTAAACTTTTCATTTAAATTTTCTTTTCTGGACAATTTAATGGGTATCAGTTTTAGTTTATTTTGTTATTGGCAGAGGTACCATTTTAAGGTAAAGGTTTAACCATGTTAACGCAAATCAATGAGATTCAAGGTATCAGGGTTGGAAGGGTTTTATTGGTGAAAAGATGGCTCAGTGATTGGGCTCTTGGATTGCCATATTTAACCTGAACTTTTGGGGGTTTCATTCAAATTGTATATATAAAGTTAGAATGTGTATATAATTTTTTTAAATTTAAATTTTTATAAATATTTTAAAATAACGGGAGCTAACCAAGTTCTCTATCTAATTTTTAATCTATTTTAGCGGCAGAAATTGACTGCAAAAACCTAACAACTTGAAATTATTGCTCAAAAGTTTATTTGAAAAATAAATATTAATGTATAAGAATGATTTATTCTCTAATCAATGCAGTCAATATCTGTTTCACATGTACAGAAAAATAATTCAATTTCTGAATTAATTTTCCGTCTCTGGTACTTTTTCTCTTACCACTCTAAGTTTCTCTCTTTATACTATGTTTTTTCTGTCTTCTGTTTATCCAGGCGCGCATTGCCACAGATTTGATAGAGCTGCGAAATCAGTCGGTGTTTGCTTTCTTTGTGATAAATGCACTCTTTGTATTGATTGTTTTCCTCCTGCAACTGAACAAAGACACCCTGCACGTTAACTGGCCATTTGGAGTGAAGACTAACATTTCATTTGATGAAGTGTCTCAAGAGGTGAGTCTAATCAGCGTTTTTCCATTTTTATCACCAACAGGTTAGAATTGCTAGCGATCTGATTGAGCTCCGAAACAAGTCGGTGTTCGCCTTCTTCATGTTCAATGCACTCTTCGTGCTCATAGTGTTCCTCCTACAACTTAACAAAGATCAAATTCACGTTGACTGGCCGTTGGGTGTAAAAACCAACGTCACGTTCAATGAAGAAACTAAAGAGGTAACGTCAATAATTAAGGTGCTCTTTCGGGAGCGCCTGAAATTTTGAATAATTCAAAAGGAGACGCTTCTAGATAAGTATTGTTGAATATAAAAATCCTAGAAGGTTGAGCAAAAAAAGAAAAAAAAAAAAAAGAAAAACGATATATAATTTTTTGTTTTCCGGTATTTTCTTTAAAGATCATTCCAGTCAAATAAGAAATTAATTTATTGGGCTCAACCCAAACGAAAAAAATATCGAATTTTTGCTAACTTTTAATTGACTCTGTAGGTTCACGTCAGCAAAGAGTATTTGCAACTCGAGCCCATTGGTCTCGTGTTTGTCTTCTTCTTCGCCTTGATCTTGATCATCCAGTTCTTGGCCATGTTGTTCCATCGCTTCGGCACCATCTCGCACATCTTGGCCTCGACGGAGCTCAACTGGTATTGCAACAAGAAGGTAAAAATCCAACCCTGCGATTGTGCTTAAAAATTCAAATTAATTCTGAAACGCAGGTCGATGACACGTCCACTGACGCATTGATAGACCGGCACGCGATCGAGATCGTGCGAAATATGCAAAAGTTACGAGGGTTGGACAACGATCCTGACAACGACGAATCCTCCTCAGATCCGGACAGGATCAGTCACAGACGGACAATCCACAACCTGGACAAGCACAGCCGCAAGAAGCAGGTCATTGGCACGCTGGACGTCGCTTTCAAGAAGCGCTTCTTTGCTATGTCGGCTGAAGGAAATGCCGAAACAGGTAAGAAAATCGTTTAATCCAAATTCAATTCAAAGGGTGAAGGGTGATTAAATTAAATTTTGTTGGAATCTTATTTAATTACACATAAATTCATTTGATCTTTCTTTTTCTGGAAAAAAATGGTTGAAAAATATTACAAAATTATTTATCATCAAAATGAAAATTAATGATTTTAGTTGGTACACCAATTTATAATGAATTTAAAAACAATAAAATTGCGTCATTTCATAGCTTTTTTCCCTGAAAGACACTCTCATTTGAAAATGATTTAGAAATATTACAAATGATTTCACTGGTAAACCAATTCAGAATTAAAAAATGCACCTTTTTTGCATCATTCAATGTAATGCACTTATTGTAAAAAAATTGAAAATATTTTTTTGAATGATTTCAGTGGGTACACCAGTGCTTGGTCTGAATCGCAAAATGACCAACCGCGAGGAAGCGTTGAAGGCCCTTGAAATTCGCCGCAACTCAGTTCTCGCCGAGAGACGCAAGTCTCAGATGAAGACGCTGGGCGCCTCCAAAACGCCCTCCGAGTACGGCGTGACCGGCGCCCAGGCCCTGGCAGCGCCGCGCCACAGAGTCTCTGTGGCCTCTGGAGTCAGTCTGAAGGACGTGTTCGAGCCGCCCAGTGGGTCGGTGAACCACGCTTACGAGGAGGAGCCGAGCAGCCTGAACAACAACAGCTCCGTCCGGCTGTCCAACATGCAGCGGAACAGCAACGTCAAGTGGAAGGCGCCGTCCGAGTCGTCCCGAAAGAACAGCAGAATGTGAATGAGATGATTATTGCGAAAATGACCGAATTGAGATTCTTAATTTATGAAAATGCAAATTTTTTTATTTTGAATCGCGAATCTATTGTCTGCCAATATTGATGTGTAGTTGAGTTTTCATGAGAAACTAACAAACGATATAGAGGAGTCGTATTATTTTTAGAAACTGTGCGAGATTTGATGTATTTTGCGTGGAATAAATCTAAATGCAAGTTGGATTGAATTTCTCATGTAGTGAATAGTAATTATCATTAACTAATAAGGGTGTGCGTGCAATTTTTAAATGGGTATTTTTATTTCCTTTGGGTGCCAATGAATGATGCTTGCTGAGAAATGATCAATTGATGTATGATGCAACCTAGCACATAGGTTATTTTATATCTTGATTCTGAATTTTGTGATAAAATTATTTGTATGATATTTTAATTAATAAAACAAGCAAATTAATTATTTTAAAACTAAAACTAGCTAATTTATTTACTTTTTGGAATCCAGTTTACTCATATATGTTTTAATTGTTAATTTATTTGTAATAATTGTATGCTGAAATTTGATTAAAATGTTTTTTTTTATTTACACTAAATCTCTAAATTTTAGTAAATAACTTAATTATTTTATAGTTTGACAAGTAAAAGTAAATAAATATAAAAATAAATAAAATAATTATTAGGAATAAATTAATAATAAAAGAATAAATTTAATCTAATATATCAATTTACATTTCAAATTTGTATTGCTTTATTTTTTATTTTCCCTGGACTATCGCGCCACATTGATTCGTAGTCAAATCCACATTCGCTGTTGGCGCTGCAGTCGCAGCCACGCCCCTTTTTTTAGTATCGTCTGTGTTGTGTCGCAGAACGGCGACTTTTGCTCGCGAATTTTTTAAATTTAGTGACAAAAGCGGCGTTCTTCCTGGGAACCGACTGTGCAGAAACACTCGAAAACAAATCTTGCGTTTATAGTTTTCGATTTTTGGTCGTTTCGTGTCCATGGCCATGTAGAAGACCGTTGTCCTTGCGCCAGGGTCACCTCTCAGGGTTAGCGAATCAATGGGCAAACACCACGTCAGTGCTCTCGGATTCGCAACTTTTCGGCCGTGAACAAACTGCTGAGATGCGAGTGAGGCGAAAACTCGCGATTCACAACATTTCGACCTAAATCATGCGGATCGTCAGTGGGAAAATCCTACTTGTCCTTGCAGTTTGCTTCCTGTCGTCGCTGCCCGCTCGGTACGTGTGACGTTGGTTGGCCCGTTCAATCGATTTGCATAAAATATTCGTTGGCCTTGACACTTCGTGTATCGCTTTTGCATTCAACTAATTCGTTTGTTTTTGCAGAAATTCTGCAAAAGATGTCAAAGCGAAAAAAGGAGCGGCGCAAACTCCGCTTGCGGCTACCTCCGTTTTAAATTCTGAGACTCCGCTGGACCACAGCACAGACAATTCGACCCTAGAGGAGCACACTAAAGTTCCGTCAGTCACTACTGTGACCGGAAACGGGCCATCCAATTCACCTCTACCTCTACACAGTATTGCAGCTGAGAGTCCACAGAAAAATGAGGACAAAATCGCCAACCAGGTTAATATCCATTTTTTTTGCAAGACTAAATTCGTACAAAACGTAACAAAAGTTTCAATTATTTTAATTTAATCTTTTACAAAAAAATTGTGAAGAGTAATTTATGAAATTATTTAAGAGCTTTCCCGCCAAATTTAGCTTCCCCTTTCGCTGTCCTTGACTTATTTTCTCCCGACTCATTAAGATCTCTTTGCCACTTGAACTCAATCGCTTTCAAGAATAGTAGCAATTTAGGGTAGACGTGCAAAATTCACATGTTTATCTTTCTTCTTCAAGCGATCAGTGCCGCGAAATTCACTTTGGCCCTTTGCCAGATAAACAGACTCATGCATGTGCACCTGATCTGGTCCAAGCGCAAAACAATTGACGCCTCTGTTATTTGTTTTCAAATAACTCTGCTAATTTCACCTTTGCTTTTAGGATGAAATACAAACTCAGACTGTTGATTCCGAAATCGTGGCTCAATTGGACTCCAGTTTCGAAGAGGACTCTGCGCCGTCTGCAGTTGAAGATGTCGTCGAGCCGAGCAGCAACTTACTCAACGTTTCTATCTCTGAGCAGCCTATTGAGACATCAAAGCTGGAGACAAAATCTCATAAAAAGTCAAAGTAAGTGGCTCGATAGCAAAATATTGAGTAATTTTTACGACTTCTCTCACAAGGTCAATGGCAAGTCAATTTATTTATATATTTTGAACATTAGTAAAATAAAAATTTAAATATTATTGATATTCCAACAATTTATATAATTCAAAATGATTATATTTTTACATTGATGGTGGATGGTGTAAAATTTTACTTTATTTTATTTTATTTTTAATTTTGCCTTTTAACTGCTTGTATAAGAAATGAAACTAAACAGCAATTAAGATATTGATTTTAATGATAACGTCCTATTTAATTACAAAATGAAATGAACAAAGTAGCAGAACAACAGATGGTTGATTCTATTTGAGGAAGCCAGGGTTAAATGCCAAGTTTACGCAGCAGTAAAATTTTCTAGATCAAGTCGTGCGTCTGCTTACTTTCCGTTTTTTCGCTAACCAGAGGTTTGTTGATAGCAAAAGCGCTGCAGTGACAGTTGTTGGCGCGAATTAATTTCATCATTATCTTGCGTTGCGAAACACGTGGTGCTCGCAGCCAATCGCGGGGCACCAAGTCAGTCTCGGTTCACCAGCGCGAGTTGATAAGATTGAAACGCGGGTCACTATTGGCCAACAATGCGTGTGGGAGTTGTAATCATTTAAGGTTTTTGCTATTTTTACTTTTGACAATGAAAAATGAGATGTTTGTTGTCTCCTGATAGTGCCATTGAGTGAGAGACGATAGGAGAAAACTGCGCAGTTTGAATTGATTAAAAACTACAATTATTTTCGTGTTTTTATTGGTAAGATTTAATTTTATTGTATTTACGTTTAAATCCAGTCGATTTTTTTATGAATTCAATAATAATCAATAATAATTTTTTTAAACATATTTTTTACTATTTAATTTTAAATTAATTAAATTTATGTTTGAAATACTAGTAAGCATTATAAATTTATTATTAAAATTATTAAATAATAAATTTCGATATCAATTTATCAAAATTTTTGTATTAATTTCACTGTTAATCAGGGTTTTAAAATTTTAGTGTTACTAACGCAAAATCAACTTTAAAAATAAAAACTTTTCTAAATAGAAAACTTTATCACTGAGATTTGGCGGAAGCAAATCTTTTGCCCCTCAAAGCGCGACCCGTAATAAAACAATTAAAAAACCCCTCGGCTCTCTGCGCAAAGAAACCCGTACTCGCTCAAACCAAATTCCGGTTGGCCTCGGCACTGTGTACTTGCAGTTGCGTTCGATTCGCACGCCGGCCGAGTCTGCCGGTGAAAATGAGTGGCGCCGCGTCAGAGTGTAATGCACACCGGCCGACAAGTGTGTGCCCACGACGCCAGCCAGTCAGTTGGTGCGCGGCGAACGGGCAGGAGCTGCCGATTGACAAGTCCGCAGTCAACCTTCCGTTCAACCTTCCGGTCACCCTTGGTGCGTTTCAATTTTTTTCCACGCAAATTTGGAATTATTTCCTACGGGTATTTTTTCGCCCTAAAGATTTTGCTCGATTCGCGAAAGTTGTTGATTTTCTATTTTGCGGTGTGATGGTGGAACAATTAAATTAATAATAATTGCCAAAGTACTGCGGACGATAGCGTTGTTTGAGGTTGGAATTTTCACCTCTTCAAACAATCTTAATTTGGAAATAATGTTTTGTTTTATAATAGGTAGAATAGTTGTCCCTATCAAATTAAAACGTGGCGGTTTTTTTTAAATATTTTTTATTTAAATTAAATGAAGAGAAATTTATTATTTTTCGTTTGCCTATTTTTATAATTTTTTAGATTAATACCGATGAAAATTTCTATGAAACACAGGAATAATATTATTTAATTCCTTCAAACAGAAAACAAGCAGGAACTAAAATAAATAACATTCAAAAGCGATTAGGATTACTCTCTGCCTGTCTTCTGCCCACTTAATTCAACATTTGATTTAAACGACCTCCAGTCTTCGTTAAAATTCGTACAGCAGTGGGCCCGAATCACTTCTCGCCGCAATTTGCAAGCAAATGATTTTAAATCGGCTTCTCTGGTGACAAAGATGCGTCCATTATTCTGCGTCGGGGTCACAACTGGGGTCATTAGCGCAGGTGGCAGGCGTTATTATTTTATGCATGCATTCGATCGAACGCAATCAAACGCCCTTATTGAATTGACAATCATGCTGAATCACCTCGCTCATGCATTTATAAAAAGAAAACCATCACTGTGTTTCTAGTTGTGCCCAAGTTGTTTACTTTGTTCCACTTACTTCCTTCCGAAGAGTATTCCAATGTCAATCAGATTGACTTTCTGCAGCGAAACTTGATATTTATTATCATTGCTGAGTTTTTCATTACCATTTCTCTTATTACTTTATTCCTAATTTGGTAATTATTGCAGCATTTATTTTATACTTCATTAGTGTTTCGTCGGAAATTTCCTATTCTCTTTGAAAAGGCTGATAGTTCATATAATTACATCTCAATAATTTAATTTATAGGGAATAAAAATAATAAAATATAACGATAATAATGTTTCAAGTCATTATCTGAATTATCTGAACATTTTAGAAGCGTTTCTATATTCTTTATAGTCAGCAGATATTTCAGTAATGTTTTCCTCCAAATTGGCAAATTTAATTTCAATTTTCTTAAACTCTTTATTTTGAAGCTCTTTGTAACAATTCAATTTATTATTAATTTTATAATAATGATTTTAATATTACTTTTGAAAACTCAATTTTTGTTCTTTTATCATTTTTACCCTCTGTGGTATTTTTCGTGTCCTTTTGCTTGCGTGTCACAAGTTTGAGAAAGGAAATGCGCAACAGCCGAGTACACAAGCACGCACGTCTGTGTTCCGTGTCGTTTTGTTTTCGCGACCGAGGGGAAGATAAGATTTTTGAACCCGGTCAAGCTACCTGTTGGCATAAAAGAAGAGGCGAAAAGCTCTCGAAATATTCCTTGGGTCGCGCGAGGTGCCTTTTATGGATTCCGGTCGTGGCGACGCCAAATTATCAAAAGATTATGCTCCGAGGCACATGCAAGTCCGCGTTTATTTTGCTATATATTCAATTTTCTGAGAACTGCAATTAGCATTGCCAAGTGCAGCAAGATTTGCGCAATTCGCTTCGACTTCTCCTTTTTTGAAATCTGCCGATGCCGGTTAGGGCGCGTGTTTGTCGCGCTTCGATCCTTTTACGGGGCAAAACAAGACCCATTTTTATAGGAAATTCTTGTCCATTAATCTTTCTGTTTTTGCCATGCCAACGATAAGAATGCCGCCGGCTTGTGCGTTTTATACAGTCTTTATAGATTAAATACTGTAGAGATAAAAATTATTTATATATACACAAAATATTTTATTTGATACGCGGAATTTTTAAAGGACAAAAGATTATTATTTTGGATTTCAAATTATCTTTTTTTTATAAAAGAATAAAATCTTTGCGCAGTACAAAAATAAATTTTGCCTTATAGAAATTGTCAAGTGCAAGTAGATGTCACAAATTTTGTTAACCAAATTAATGCATTCGAAAGTCAAAAGAGACTCGCACGCCAATCGAGTTCAGTGCCTTCAGAGCCACTTTTGTCCAAGCGAGTCGAGTTAAATGAACTGCAAGTTTACTAAAAAAATATCTGGATTAGAAGTTCGTTGTCGCATTCGAGGAGAAAACAGCTCCAATTACACATTCGGTCTTGCATTCGATGTGCTTTCCACTTGTAATGAGGACATTTCTGAGACCGATTCAAATTTTTGATTGAAGCTTGAAATTTCAGCTACCATTTAATTTTAATTTTAAGCATTATTTAATTTTTCAGATTTTATTTCCTTCAATAAAATGTTTCATATTATTTAAAATAAATTCTCTCAATGTACACAGCAATAAATCGCAGATACAGAAATTTAAATTTGCCAATATTCATTGCTATGCTTTGAGCTTTAATCCTGAGCATGGCCATAAACATACTATTCACATGCACTTGCTGATTCAAGGGCGTCTGGGTCTAATATTTGGAGCCAACGAAGGTCATGGCTTGCCGAGGGCGTGTCTGCTAATTTTAGAATCGCCAATTGATTAAGGATAAGTAACATGGATGCACTTGATTGCATTTTAAAATAAAAATCAAAGTTATTGAAATAGGTTTTATAAAAACATAAATTAAAGAAGTTAATCATTGAATTTTATAATATTTTGAGGTTTTATTAAAAAAAAAAATCTGTAAAACATGCGGAATTAAAATTTAAAACTTCACTAAATCAACTAGCTGTAAACATCGATCGCTTATTTGAATTGGAAAATTGCGCCCGATGTAAAAAAAGAGACCTTGGCACTTTTTTTTATATTCGCCAGTTCAAACAGCGGGTGCCAATGTGAATTGGTTGTAAAACTGCTGGCGCCTTTATATACACGCAGCAGCGTTTTTTTTTTGGTCGATGTATTTGAATGCCGGTTGCGCAATGAGTTTCTTCTTTTGAGTGCGTTTTGCGAGGAGTGCTTCGAATTGTCCGCATCCCTGGCTCGCATGCCGTTGCCCGCGAAGGGCTTCGTGCAACAATTTTGCGCATCGCAAGGTCGCTTTTTGCTAACGGGGATTCTCGTTCGCTCTGAACCGAAAAATCTTCATTGTTTTTACTCCAACTTGGAAGCTCAATTTGTCGTGATTCGACTTTTGAACTCGCGTGACGCAAGCGATTTGATACATTTCCTCCGCACTTGTTTGTCGTTTATCGCTTTTCGAAAAGCTGACGTTTTCCTTGTTGTTTCTGTATAATCGTGAGTACAAGTTATTCCAGTTTTAATTTTAAACTCAAATATTCAAATCATATCTGCGAGGCGAAAATGTTCGTGACTCTTAATAACACGCGCAGACGTCAATTTAAAATAATTGACTCGTCTTACAGAACAAAAAGCACATTTGAATTTTTTGCAAGGGCCGGTTTTTGCGGCTCTTTTTGAACTTGAGCTTCACCTTGCTCGAGGAACTACACGGAATATATTTTAAAAATCGAGTGCCGCTTTTGTCCGTAGCTATTTTTAGATATCTGATGTAAGTTAAAATTTTGCTGGCGTACGCAGCTTTATTCCGAGAAAAGGCTAATGTGCACTTTCTTGTCTGATCAGACATTCAGCCTGCTTCCGCTCATCACTGTAAGATGAAACCGTGGAATGCATTTTTACTACAGCAATTTAAAATAATTATTTGTTCCAACTTAACAAATTTACTTAATTTGGAAACGAGAGCAAATCATAGAAAAATTAAGTATGAAATCATATATTTAATGATGTGCTTTAGTAAACTGGAGTTTCTCTCATACAAAATTAACAATTCTTGCAGTTATTTGAAATGATGCAATTATATATCAAAAATAAATCAGGAAGTGAGTAAAAATATAAATTTACCAGAAGGAAAATAAGTTCGGAAGCTTGGGTTTCCTTTAACAAAGTGGGATTGTAAGAAATAGCTTTAGTATTTAATATTGATTCCAATTTTTATTTCTTCAACTTTATTATATGCCGCAATATTAATTTCAATTGAATTAATTGGTAATGCAATGATTATAATATAAGTAAATGAAGTATGTTGCCAGCAAGATAGCTGAGTCCATTTTTGAACACATAACAATTAATTTGTTAATATAAATAATAAAAATAGTACTAAATATTTTTGAAATGGGATTAAGTCAAAGTTTTTTATTAAATTAATTAAGAACGTTTAATAAATATCGTAAATGAGAATATAAAATTATATAATAAATTAAATTAAATAAAATTGGAAATGAAGAGAAAATAAAACTATATAATATTCTGTAAATTTACATTGTTTTGGAAATGTAATTAGCTTTATTATTAAATAGTAAATTGATTGAGTTAATGCTTTTTTTCCTGTAAACATACTTCAACAGCAATAACTTAAGATTTATCAACATGCATTGAAGTTTTACGTTCTAACAAGTCTAATTTTGTTTGAAACTTAATTTTATTAGGATTAGAATTCCCCATTACTCGGTACATTTACATAACTCGACTTTTGCCGAGGCAAAAAACGTGCGAGTCCGCAGCGCACCAGCAACGTGTGCGATCGAAATTCCGACCGTTTCATCCTCTTCACGCGCCCGCAATGTGCCTTTTTGCACGTCGTACTTTTCTTTTCTCCAATAATTCTCCCCGCATTTACGATTCTCCACACCAATCGCGTGGGGCTTCTTTTGAGCAAAGCCGAAATCACACACCGACCAATGCGTCGCACGTCGAGCGAAACGCAATTAAATTCCTCTTGTCGATCTCACGTGCATAAGCAACAGTAAATAACATTTGCAGCAGTTTTGTGCGCGTCGGTCGAGGCGGCGGATGATCCGAAGCGAAGTCCGACCGGGGGATGAAGCAGAAGTCGCAGCGGTGCGAGGTCAAGGCCAGTCGCAACCCTCTCGGCGTGATCGCGTGGCTGGGGGCGGGCGTCGCCTCCAGGCTGCTCCACCTCGCCTCCATGTACCTGCTGGTGGCCCTGTGGGTCCTTTGGGCCGTGCCCGCAGCCAACAACTACGACACTAACAGGTTTGCCTGCTCAAAAAACACCAACTCGGACAGATCGATTTCGCGGTTTGTGTGAATGATGTTGGGTTTGCAACACCCAAGCTACTTTCTTAACAATTCACGCATCGGTTGCTGCTTAAAAAATGTTTATTCGCATTAAAAGTTTAAAGTTTGTGAAATGAAAATAATATTACTTATCTTGTTTATCTAATATAGATTATTTTTTTTCTAAATGAAAATAAGACAATTTTTATTATTATTAAACTTATAAAAAGAAAATATTTTTTTTATTGTAAATTATTCCAAATAAAATTTTTAGATCAATCAAAATTGAAAAATATCAAATCATCACAAACTATTTAAAAAATACTTTTTATTTATTTTAATCTGTAATTTGTATTATTTTTAGTTTTATATTTCATTTTTTTTTAGCTGTAGTGAATTTGTATAATTCTTTTAGCAGCTAAATTATTATTAAACTATTTATGCTTGAAACTGTTGAGATTCATTTTATCAAAAACAAGTAGAAAATATCGAGTTATGTGAGACTTTCTTTATCTGATAAAGATACTTTTCAACAAGATAAACAAACGCTTATCAAATGAGTTCAACATTTTTTTTGTTACCTATTCAAAGAATTTGACTTGCCATTGACCCATATTTGAGAATACCTTTCTTTCTTGCATTCCTTATCAATTAATTTTGTTTCAAATAATCAATAGAACCAAATTAATTGTCATTTCAGACTAATCAAACCAACGGTGGAACAACTGAACGTTCCAATTGTTCCGGTGCAGCTGCCCGATCTCCAAAATATTTCCGAATCGCTCAACGACGACGCGACAAACCACACAGTCGACTTGCTCGTCCAACAGCAGCAGCAGCAGGCAACTGTCGCTGCCGCCCCCAAACTGCCCCCTGACAAAGAAGCCCCCAAAGAGAAGCAGCCCTCGGCGGCCACGGTTTCGGAAGAGCCAAAGCCGGCCAACCAGAGCGAGGAGATTCCGTCGTTCAACGAGTGGGCCCAAAAGCAGCTGGCAGAGGCCGAGAAGAAGAAAGGTTTGTTGCGAAAAATAGTTGCAATCTATTTCTAGACCTTCCAAAAATAATCCACGTGTCTGGACTGTTTTTACATCTGTTGTTATCGTCATGAAAGTCTGCTGCTCACTGAGCTAAAAATGTCAAATTTATTTTATTTTGTTTATAAAAATGCGCGAAATTTCAATGTTTAAAAAAAGCTTCTTTCTCATCGCCCTCGATTATTCATTGATTTTTCCGAATTTGAAAATTAATTGATTTTTTAATTCACCGTAAAAAAAGATTCAAATAAGCTTTCTCATTTTTTTAAATTGTAAATATTTTAAAGGAAACGGCACTTTTTTTTTGCTTTGAAATAAAATTTGCTCAATCCAGTTACTAAAAATAAATTCGCATTGTCATCTTTCCAGTTCAAAACACGAGCGAGTTGCCGAAAGCGGCGCCAAAGGCGCAGGGCAACATAAAAATCCGCTCCAAGAACTACGCGTCGCCCGACTGTGGTGCCAAAATTGTGGGCGCCAACCAGGAGGCGCAGCACGCCAGCTCCGTCTTGTCGTCCTCGCAGGACGAGTACGCTCTGAGTCCGTGCAACAGTGCCAAGATCTGGTTCGTGGTAGAGCTTTGTGAGGCCATCCAGCCTAAGCAGGTACTTGGATCATCCCAAATCTTCTTCTCTTTGATGCTAATTAATATAATAATTTATTTTAATCCTCGTTTGCAGATAGAGTTGGCCAACTACGAGTTATTCTCGTCATCCCCACAGGAGTTTTCAGTTTTCTTCAGCGACAGATACCCAACCCGGGACTGGCACTTGGTGGGCCAATTCACCGCCCAGGACGAGCGAACCGTGCAAAGCTTCAACTTGGAGCCGTTCCCCTCCTTTGGCAAATTCATCAAGGTCGGCAACTCTTTAATTAGCACCTGCATTAAGACTAATGAGTCGCGTCCATGTTTGTCACAGGTGGAGATGCATTCTCATTATGGCAAGGAGCACTTTTGCCCTGTATCTTTATTTCGCGCCTACGGCACCAGCGAGTTTGAGGTTCTTGAGACTGAAGAGGAAGGCCACAGCGCAAGACACGCGGAAGAAGACGATATTGATGATGATGTGGCAGGTACAAGCCGATTAGCTTAGTTGTTTTAGAAAAAAAATTCATCCGATGTTGGATATCGTGTTTATGCAACGACATGCTCAAACATGATCTTGTTATGTTAATTCTCAGATGACACTGACGACCGTCTTGAATTTCCAGGTTCAATCCAACCCGAGAAGGTTCAACCCAAGAACCTTTTCGGCAGCGCCACCGAGGCTGTGATAAGCATAGTTAAAAAAGCTGCTCAAGCTGCAAATGTCTTTGCAAAAACTGGTTAGTTTGGACCAAAAAAACATCTCATTTAGTTCACATACTATTCTTTTTTATTGCTAGATTACTTGGTTTATTTTTATTCTAGAATTTCTAGAAATAAAAATTAAATAATATAAGGTTTTCTGAGCATTTAAAATCCATCTTTTTGAATACTATTGAATAATTTTTCTTTCAGGTGACTCAAGCAACTCGACGTCTTCCGTGACGGACATGCTGCTTACCAACAACACAATGTGCAGCATGTCTCCGAACATACCTTTTGAAGAGCTGTGTCCCAACTGCACACCTGGTGTGTTGAATCTCCTCACATGCAACTACAGAGCACTACGGGCCATGCTCTCATCTAATTATGTACTCAAAGCTCTCCAGCGAGAGCAACTCTGCTTCAGGACAAGTTTTAATGAAAGTTTCTTGGGCGTGATGCTTGGACCGGATTACATTTCTGCTCTCTGCAGAATCCTCCTCTCTTTGCACCCTGCACCCATAAACATGAGCCTAGCAGAGGTTGGTTTTGTTTATTATTAACAATATTTTTTATTTATGATTTTTTTAATGCAGGATGCAAACAGTGATTTTGTGTTGGTTGTCAAGCCATCAGGGCAGCCGTCTGGTGTTTCGACTTGCAGCAAAGTTAGTGGCTCTTCTGCAGACATTTCAAGTGGAGAAAAGGAGAGCTCACTTGATTCAAGTGTCCCCATTCAGCCAACCCAGACGTTGAAGCAGAAGAAGGACTCTGAGGAGGTCCAGATTGAGTCTGTCGTTGCACCAACAGCAAGTGTGCACCTTGATATTGTGCCAGTCGAGCAAGCGCCTCAAGAAAATTTAATTGAGGAAGTAGCTGCTCCTGAAGATGAGACTGATGTAAAATTTTAAAACATATCTGAAAATTTCTTTGAATTTATCCTCTTTTTTTATGAGCAGCAAAATGTTACTGAAGAGTGGCCGGCTAGTGAAAATGGAGAAGTTGTGGATTTGCTTCCGGAGGACGAGGGCTCCGATGTTGTTGAGCTCACAAGTCAGTCCTCCCAACAAACACACCAAACTTCCTCAAGCACGACAACCACCAATGCAGCTCCTGCAACTCCTTCCAGTGCCACGCCAAACCCAGTCAATGTGCACATGCAAGGGGGCCAGCAGAAAGAATCTGCCTTTGTTAGACTGGCAAATAGAATAAAGGTACCGTGACTGTTTAAAAGTGCAAGTTTTTTTTAAATTAAATTTTTATTTCAGGCTCTGGAGAGAAACATGTCCCTGAGCGCCCAGTATCTGGAGGAGCTGAGCAAGAGGTACAAGAAGCAGGTGGACGAAATGCAAAAAGCGTACGACCGAACTTTAGCTGCAGTCTCTGAGTCATCAAGGCAAGCTGCACAGCGGGAGCAAATCCAGGCTGAGAAATTCAACTCGCTGGAGCAGAGGTTCCTCATTTTGGCCGAAACAGCGGCCATTCTTCTTGCGGAAAAAGATTCCTGGCAGTATAAGTTTCAAGTGAGTGTTTATTTTTATTTTTTATTTGTTAATAAATCTTAATGGAATGATCTTAAAATTTCCAGGCCATATGCCACAATGTCATCCTTGTGAGTGCTGCCGTCTACTTAATTTTGCATCTCATCAAAAAGATCGGCGTTCGAACTGTCAAGGAGAGCACTCCTGATTTGGACAGAAGGCTCTCTGTTTTCAAAAGGCACTTGTCTGCCGACGACATTCCTAACGATGAGCCCATAAGAAAGAGAAGAACCAGCGAACTTGAAACAGAAGGTAAAATTTTATTTAAAAAAACAGAATCCTGTTTGACTTCAGTAAATAAAATTTCCAGAATTTATCTAAAATTGAGAAAATTAGTAAGAATGCATCAATTTAAATAATCTAACTCGCAAACATGTTTTTAATGTATTTCTATTTTTTGACTGTTCAGTTTGCCCGTCTCCAAAGCTGAAAGTGCCAGAAAAGAAACTAGTGCTGCCACTTGCTTTGAAACACGACCCCCTTGCTGACAAAGAAAACAGGCTGGACCCGTACAAGAAAAAGAGGAAGCGACTGAGGCGCGAACTGCGAGGCATGAGCGTCCAAGATCTGTGTTCTGGTCTCAGTCCCGGCACGCTGGCCATCATGAGAGCACCAACGCTCAAGGTGGCTCCCAAACCCTCCATCAGCCCAATCCACCGACTGACACCCATCAAGGGCAGGAGGCACAGCACCGACAACTCAATCATAGACAACGAGTTTTGGAAAAAAGAGTTCAAGATGAGTTTGAGTCACTCTGACAAAATCGCCGTCTTCACAAACGGCGAGGAGGGCAAAGAGGGCAGCACCTTGACGGTGGAGCTCATCAAGGCTGACGAGGACGAAAATACGCCTCCAGCGGCGCAAACCGTCCAGCAGCCAAAAAAGTCGAGCAGCGGTCTCAAGAAGATGGTGAAAAAACTTTTCTGATTAAAGTAGAAAAGTGGTCACTTCCGACGCTTACTGCATTTCTGTCTGTGATCAATGGCGCACTAATGAATGAATTGTTAATTAATTATGAAATGTTTTCACTACAGTGTAGTCGCGCACGTTTTTATTTTTAGCTTGTTCAAGTTCCTTTGCGAAATCTGATTGAGTCAGGTTGGTTAGAAACTTATATACATACACATGTGAATGTTGTAAATTGCCGTTTTTACGAAATCAAAATCACTTTATGATGTTCTGAACGAAGTTAAGTGTTGAGCTTCTTTTTTTAGTTTTAGCGAGAGGAATCATCTCAAAATCATCTTGACGGTTTCCTTTAAAAACCGGAGGGATTGATTTGGCATTTTTTAACTGTGTAGTCATTCATGTTCCCAATTTTATTTATTGCTCCTACTTGTAAACTAGAACTACGTTGTAAGTAAAAAGCAGACTGGTGTAATTAACGTAAATGAACGGAACAAAGCAAAGTGGTGATCAAGCCAAGGACTTTCACACTGGCAGATTATGTAAATGTAATTTATGTTGTAAAATAATCGGATAACGCTTCGACAAAATGGAATGGATTGCGATTGAAAGTGTGAAAAGTGCGATATATATTTTGTGCCGTGTTGTATGCAAGTAGATCAACAGACCAAAATAAAAAGTACCAAATAGATAATCTCGCCAGTTCTTCACTTGCTTTTTTTACCCACAATTTTTTTTGCTTTCGTCTTGAAATGTTTCGTGCATCGGCAGTTATTGCCATTCTCGAGCCGCGTCGCGAATTTATTTATGATTTTGCGTCGCATAAGGCAAGGACGCTCATTTTAAAAACGAGGGAGCCGCCGCCGCGTGATATGCGCGCCGAAAAGGTGGAGGTACACGTGAGGACTCTCAAAAAGCATCGCCTCTTGAGAAACCAGCCGCAGATCAACTCCTGAGCTTGCCACCGCCGTGTCCTCTTGACAGGAAGACCTCGCAACGATAAAGGTAAAATTTGTTACTAAATTTATTATTTTTGAGAGCTGACAACTTGATATTAGTGCCATTTAGGGAAACTAACTCTCTGTTGCAAGCTTATAAATTAAGAAAATCTTGGCCTTTAAAAATACTAAGCTGATCTTGTCAAAGTAAATATATAATTCGATCTGATCCTTTAAATTTTTAGAAACAGTTTTATATTGTTATTCATTGGTCCAATTGTTAATACTTCTTACTTCATGAGAATTTTGGAAAAAAGAAATTGTTTGAATGAAAAAATTAAATAAATTTTGGAGAAAAGAGGCATGAAAACTAGAAAAAGAATTTCCTAAAATTCTACAAAAATGCAATATTAACAACAAACAAATGTTTATAAATACTTATTTTTTTTAAACTAAATTAATATAATTTAAAATTTTTAAAATATGTTTATTATTTCCATTAACATTTGTTTAATCTAAAAATTTTTCACTTTATATAAATTTATAAAAAAAAATGCATATTTTAATCAATTTTAATGTTAAAATGAATGATGCAATTTATAAAAATACTCTATTCTTGTCATGTGTAAAATGTTTCTTAATAATTTTAAATTTATCAAGCAACATGGATGTTTGATATGGAAAATATCTACTAATGTAAGAATAAGATTCTGATAATCTGATGTCAATTGAATATTGCCGAATATTGAATGTTTAAGTTCATTGTGGATGTGAATATGAAATTTTCATCACAATTCACAATTAATTATGAATTAAATATTTATACCTAAAATTGCAAAAATTAAAGCGGAAAGCGCGTTAATTATATTTTTATACACACTTAAAAATAGAAATATAGTGGTGTGTTTTCTATATTTATTCTAATTTGGAAAGAAATAGTACTTGGCAGGAAAAAAATGAACTTTCGATGAATGGGTTTGAATAAATTTTAGAACTCATTGATCTTTAGGACCACCGAAAGTGTGCCAATAGGCATCAAGTGGTCAATGAAGATTAAGTTTCACGTTATATAATTAATGCACGAGGGGAGAGCGCGATTGAATATCTACAGCGCGGTGGTCCAGAGGCTTTTCAATTCTAATCAGGAGGTTCCTTTACCCGAACGCAATGTTATCTTTTTGTACACACGATAATTATTGTCTGAGGTTCGTCGGAAGTTTTCAGGCGCACTGAGTGAGTCTCGTTCTCGCGCGCGTTCGCCTTATCGCAGCACAAACTGCTGTCCAATGAAGCGAGTCGCGTAGCAGGAGGAACCGACGACAAAATTTCTCATCGGTCATTTTTAGCGAGGGTCAGCAGCTAGTGCAGCGATTTTCGCAGGTGGTGCCGCGCCAGCAGCCGATATAGGTATTTGCACGAGAATTCTCGACAAGCAGTCGACCGACCGACCGCAAACGAGGAAAGGGTTTTCTAGCTTTTTTATTTTTATCACATGGGAAAGATAAACAGCAGATATGATTTAATAGAAAGGGTTATCTCATCTTCCAGAATATTCATGCCAGTTCTAATAAATGTGCCTGTTGGTTTTTAATTAAAAAAAATATAGATTTTCTGTGGGAATTGCTTTGCAGTTTTAAAAATGTTCTAAACAAAAACAATTTCCTACTACAATTAAATTATCGAATTTCTAACAGTTTGAAAATAATTCAGAATAATTCGAAAAAAGCAAAGAGCACAATTTTCAAGAAATATTAATTTAGTTCCACTCTCGTTGACAACGGAATCCTCATTAGGCGTCTCCATCGTTTCAAAATTAGTGGTTGTTGGACTCGACATAATCTTAATTACAAGTGCATCACGTGCGAGCAGCGCCTTGTTAATTAGCAGACGACATGCACCACCAATACGCAGACAACCGTTCTTGTTATCTAATCAAGCAATTCTCCCACGCACTTGACTTACTTGCGATTTTTAGCACGTGCTCTTCGATCTCTCGTTACTTATTATTTCAATGGGCAAGGGCGCGCATGGAAAGGATCGAATTTCAACTTTCATTGTAACTGCGCACATAAAAACCAAGGCATCCTGTCAAAACACGTCAAGAATTTGCGGTCGTAGAGGAGACAGCTTGATTAAATAATACAAATTATAGGGGCATTCATAAGCGAGCATTTTCAATATCAAATATTGCCAATATAATTATTTTAGGAAGCCAATTTTTTAGGCATAAAAATTTGAAAGAAAAAAATACAAAACTTTAATTTGAATTTCAAATAGGATGTCATGCACAAACCATAGTGTATTAAAAAATGCGACTTTTTTCTCAAAAAGGGGCTTCTGATCACTTCTGATATCAAATCAAGCCACAATTTGTAAGTGCAGAAACGGCCTTTGTTGAAAATTAAGCCAAAATTTTGTTTGTTCTTCATTGTTGGCATTGTTCTATCTGCCCATTTTTATATGGCCTATGCTTGCTAAAATTAATAATTTTTTAATGATGCAGATTATGTTATTATTATTATTGATCTTTATTGACATATGAGGCGTCACCACGATGTAATTACTCATTGCGACGCGCCCCATTTGCAACATAGTACAAAACAAGTAGAAAATAGAGAGCAAAAAACAACAAAAATATTACAATGTATCAATTAGTTGAAAAAACTCTTCTTTGCTATAAAATTTATGTGAATGAACAAATCGCCTCAAACTACTTTCAAAAATCTTGTATCGAGGCTCTAAGCGAATCGAAACAGGCAATTTGTAATACAAGTCAAAGGGTTCTGCTTCGAAATTAACAGAGTCTGAGCAGGAACATACAAATCCCTTTTTGCCCGTGTCTGATAATTATGAACTTCACTTGTTTTTTGAAAATAGTGCGGATATTTACGAACAAATTTACACGATTCGAAGAGTTAAATTGAAAACACAGGCAGAAAGTCGAACCGAGCGAAAAGTGGCCGCGCAGAACAAAGCGGCTCCGTACTGCGCCAATAGCGCTCACCCGAATGTTTGGAATGATTGGGAATTTTTTTAAACAGTTTCATCCTACTTAAAAGTTTTACTATATAATTATGGCGCTGATACAATTTTTACAATTCATTATTTCAAGTATAAAGATGCAGCGGGAGAACTTTGATTTTATGCGTAATTATTTTAAATATCGTTCCAATGATTAATTAAAAATTTATAGTTGTGCCAAGAATCCTCTTTTCTTCGTCAGGAAATTTTGCAGATTTAAACAAATTAGGAGTTTGAATAGCCTTATAAAAGCTTGCAAAATCGATCACCATTGCAAATAAATAACTTTCTTCGCCTCTACTTGATCGTGTTTTGCAATTTTACGCAACAGGTACTGCTGCTGCTGCTGGTCGCGTGTTGTTCTCGAGTAGCGAGCGAAGAGCGAAACTCTGCACCGAGACTGTGAGCACCAGAGACGGCCGCAAAATGAAGATGGACTGCTGGTTCAAGGACCGCGAAGTGGCCGTCGACGTGCTGGCCGCCCTTTTCGGCGTCGCCTCTTGGGTCGCCATCAACGGCCTGTGGGTCGAACTGCCCCTTCTGGTGCAGGCCCTGCCCGAAGGATGGTCGCTGCCATCGTACCTGTCCGTAATTATTCAGGTAAGTCTTGTTTTTGAACGAAAGCGTTTGAAGCATTATTCATCAGTATTGAATGTGTGCAAAGTCAGCAAATATTTCAACTTTCAACAAAAATATTGGCTGTCCTAATTAAGTACGTGATAATTATTCAGTAAAACTTACAAACTAGAAGTAGTTGTTATAATTCTTAAAACATCTTAATTTTTTTTTTAAATTTTATAAAATAAACATAAGTAAATATTAATTTTTATTTTATTTTAAACAAAAATGAAACATTTTCATAAATTTTATGATCGTGTGTTTAGAAATTTTTGACTGGTTAGTTTTAAACTATTAATATTATTACATTAATTAATTGTGCATTTTGAAATAATTATCGTTCGATACTTTCTTCCATACACGTTTTTCTGAGAACTGAAGCGTACTAATTCTCAAAAGTCACGCGTAATAATTAACTGGAGTCGCCGCAATTATCCACAATTGGAATATGTAGATTTCATCGGTGCCAAGGGCGGCTAGCTCGTGACTTTTAATGCGATGTATTGTTACATGGGATTTTTTGAACTTGTATTCTTTAATCTTCATATGCCAATTATAGCCTACTTGAAAGGGTCCAAGTAGAAAATGATTTATGATCTATTATTCGGCACTTTTCAATATTATTGTCACAGTCACTTGACGCATTAAATTTGCCACAATGACACACAGAGAATGTACATTAAAAACTAATCCGACGTCAATGTATCAAGTGGTATCAAGATTTATTGACTTAACTTAAAAAAAATAATAACTGCATGTGACCAACAATGTGAATTTAAAAACGGGCACAACACAATCACATGTACTTGTGATTCTTTAAAAATGAATCAAATTGTAAATTAAAATTAATTAATATATATGACAAAGATTCGTTTTTTAATTTTTTTAGACGTAAATTACTGAAGTTAAAAACAATGCACTCGTTTTTATACAGATTTTTATTGAAAGCCGACTTTAATTTATAATGTTGTTTATTTGTTGTGTGAGTGTGTTTTTTTTTGTAAATTTTAGTGTAGAGCTGTGTCGTGTTTGCGTTTTTAAGTGTATTTCAGTTTCTCCTGCTTTTCTTAATTTTTGAGTATTCTGCGTCAGAAAGCGTAGTGTGTGCTTTTATCAGTCTAATTTAAACAACATTGGGGTCACTATGGCATATTATGTAATTTTGAAAATTTGAGATACATTTTTCTTTGCATTTTCATTAAATTAAGACGAATTTTATATAATTTTTAGTAAAAAAGACAAATGTTTTCTGCCGAGCAAAACTATAAATTATATTTTCAAAAGAAATTTATAACGTGGATTCAGAAACTGAGCGAGAAAACCAATGCTCGGAAAACGAATTAAAATGTCCAAATTTCAACTTTTAATTGGAAATTTTAATTATTTTTAAAACAGATTTCCGTTTTAAAATAATTAATATTTCCACTTAAAACTCACTGTGACCTTTGAACCCTCCACTTCCCTCAAGGAAATTTTAAGGATATTTAAATAACAATTTTAAAAATTTTATAAATTTATTGTTTGGATTTATAAAAATCGTAAAATCTGTGTTTCTAAAGCACACAAAAAACTTGAAATAGAAAAAAATATCTAAAATAAATGCTCTTTTCATTTTGTCAGATCGCGAATATCGGCCCTTTGGCTTACGGCGTGTTGAGCCGCACCGTGCCCCGCCTGGTGACCCCGTCCAGGGCAGTCTGGGCGACCCTGTGCGTCGGTGTGGCGGCCTCGGTGCTGATGCCCATTTTCTGGGACGAGACGGCCTTCCTGTTCGGCGCCGAGCGGTCCGTGGCGCTTCTTGCGCTCACCCTCGCCCTCAGCCTCGTCGACTGCACCAGTTCCGTCCTTTTTCTGCCCTACATTGGTACACAATTTTTTGTTATTATAACTTTGAAAACGGTCATTGATTGGCGAACACAGGGCTCTTCAAAAGCATCTATCTGCCGAGCTACCTGTTGGGCGAAGGTCTGAGTGCCCTTTTGCCCAGTTTGGTGGCCACAATTCAGGGCGTGGGGAAATCCACCTGCGTCAACTCCACCGACCCAAATTACCCTGGCCTCGTCGAGCAGCTCGATCCGCCACTTTTCAGCACTGAGGTACAGTATTTTTTTTTAATTATTAATTTATATAAAAAAATCATGTTTCATGTTGAATTGTTAATTTGGGTAAATTCTAGGCATTTTTCGGTACTTTGGCTGCTATGATGATCATGTCGACGATCGCGTTCAGCGGTTTGGAGTTTTTGCCCATTTGCAAGCACGAGCGGCTGAAGGAGCGCGAAACTGAGCAGCAAGTGCAGACCTACGCAGCCCTCGAAGGCGCCAAATATGTAATAAAAAATTGGAAAAATATGAAATTAATTTAATTGGATAAACTTGATTTTGAAAAACAGAATAAAAAATCACTGTGGTCTTTATTGGCCATCCAGTTCTGGTTGTGTCTGTGGTCGAACGGTTTCATGGTGGGTCTGCAGAGCTACTCGTGCATGCCGTACGGCAGCGAGGCCTACCACTGGGCGGCCATCCTCTTCAACGTAGCCAACCCCCTGGCCTGTGTGCTCGCTTTGGTCAGGGCCTGCGTCTCCATCAGGGGCATCTTCGTGTTGCTGTGCGGCAGCAGCCTCACGTGCGCCTACCTGCTGTGGACGGCGGCCACGAGCCCCTCGCCGCCCCTCGTCGACGATCTCGCCGGTGCCATTCTCGTGGTGAGTTTTTTATTTTTAAATTTTACTTTTTCGATTACTGCGAAACTTTGAAGTCACGAGTCTCCACTCTTTTATGTGAAAAGCAGTGAAAAGCAATGCTATTGATTGCGTTCATATGTTCTCGTCAAGTCAAACAAAAAAGGGAAAAGTCACATTAGGAGAGAATTGGCAGCTCCAACTCGTAAACCCAATTCGGAAGCAAAAGTGTTCCAAAATTATATACTATTCAATTAGATAATTATGGTTGCCTTTGCCTTATTAATAAAAAAAGAGGAAATAACCGTTTTAAAATTGAAGTTAGAGAAATGTAATTTTTCAGCTAGAAAAATTTCATAATTTCATATAATTAATAAGTTATTAAGTTATATTACTAATTTTTACAGAGTAATGTTCCCTAAAAATTAAAATACTAATTTTAGAAGCAAGAGTTCGAGAATTGTCTTAACACACAAATTTTGGTGCGAGTTACTTTAGCATAGGTTGTATAAATTATAATTTTTTAGTAAATTAATATTTATAAAAAAAAACTTTATTTTAACCGTTTTTATTTAAATATAAATTGGAAAAATAGTCTTAAATTACATAAAAAATTTTAATTTTTTTCAAGTTATATTAAAAAATTAAACTTATAAGTTAATATTTATAAATAATATTAAAAATAGTTTTATCAAATAATTATTTTGAACTTTTTTTAGATATAATTTTGCATTGCTTTGAATTTCCATTTTTGAGAAAGGAATTTACTCTATTAACAAATTATTAAGTTTATAAACGGCCGATGTAAATAAATTTTTCTACACTCGGCTCATGTAAAAAAGCAAGTTTTCATCTAGCCGATGTTAAGAAATAATTTTTTAAAATTTTTAAAATTTTAGGTCCTCGGTTGGTTTGTTTACGCGGCCGTGACAACCTACGCAAAGGTGAGCACCGCGTGCGTCCTTCGCCAGAACAACTGGGAGCGCGACAACGACAAGTTGGAGACGGACTCTGTGCGCGAAGGTTCACTTGAAGGGTCGCACGTGAACAAAGCCAGGTCGCCTGCCGAAGACCGACTCTTTTATTACGGCGTCGCCACGCAAGTCGGGTCCCTCGTCGGGTCCATCATCGCCTTCGTCCTGGTCAACGTTTTGGTGCTTTTCCAGGCCAAATATCCGTGCCAGTGACCTCTGAAAACTTGACCCTCCAAATTTTACGCTCATACGCGCATATGATGCGCCGTCTCAATATTGATGTATGGATTTTTAAGGATTTTTTAAACGCGCACTCCATTGATTGACTGCATAAAAGGATTTAGCTATTAAGTTTTTATCAATAATTTTTCGATTTTTTGATACAATCATAAAATGGGATACTGGATACCATTGTTTTCTCTGTTAGGTTTAATGTCTTTTAATGTGAAACATCAAAATGTGCAATAAAAAATACAGCAACATTCAGCTTTTATATTATACATAAATTAATTAATTTTTTAAGAAGAAACCAATAAAATATTAATTATTCATTCAGACTTTTGATTCTAATTATGCTTTGTTCAAAAATTGAATCAATAAAAAATATAATTTTTCCAATCTTGCTGTAATAAAGCATAAACACGGAACATCTCCATAAATCCCCCCCAGCAAATTTGTGCCAAAAAGTAAAATTTATTCAATCCCCGCATGGAAATTTGTACGTCGACCACGTAAAAGATAATAAACAATTACCTGCAATCAAGGGATCTGAAACGTCTATTCATTCAGATGCCGTCAGATTTAATATTTTCTGTCTGGCATCGGCGGTTTCCGATCAAAGAAAGTTTTTCTATTTTAAATTCTGGCTTTCCTTATTTAAACTTGTCTGCTTGCCAATGAATTAATCCATTCGTGGAAACCTGAGCAATATTATTTTATGTGGCGAAGCACCGTCCCAATACTAATTTTAGTAAGACAAGAATTTCAGGTTGGCGACTGCCAGCTCAAAATCGACGAGGATGTTTTATTCGCGTAAAACAGCTAAATTTTTAGTTAACAAGTGATATTTTTATTTTTGTAAAACTCGGTAAAACATATTACACTGTATTCTTTTTAGTCACGATGTAGTTTGTATAATAGTAGTTTTTATTTTATATTTTAATATGAATCTGCGATTTTTCAATTTCCTCTCATCAACTATAAATATATATTTAATTCAATTTTTCCGTATATTTTCCTCTTCTTAACAGTCCCAGTACATAATAGTTCAAAATCCACAATTCGAGCCTTGGAGTTTCCAACTCTCTTATACAGAGGCACAATCCGTTTTTCACAAAAGTGGTGCGCGGCGATTTACAAAGCATTTTGTCGATAAGGCCTCTTCGTTACAAATCTAGGACTGCATGACAAGTAGTTTCCATTTTTATGCTCTTAAACTTTAATAATATATTGTTTTCATATAATATGGCATAGAAAATTTCCTTAAATATGACAAAGATTTCATACTCATTCAGTAATTTCATCCAATTTTACAGCTCAATTTTTCAGATTTCTCGGCCCGCATTTGCCGCAAGCCAGGCACTTTAGATTATATTTTTTTAAAGTCACAAGGCTCATTTAAATTTTCGCAAAAGTGTTAGACCAAAAATATAAGTAAAAACTTTGGCAAACTGGTGGCTGAAGTTGAGTCGGGGTGTGAAAATATATATAATGTAAGAAAACCCATATAAGTTTAAACTAAATATTAAAACTCTAAATGATATGTTGATTCGTTAATATAAGTTACGAGGGGAGGGGTCTGGTAAAAACAAGTTTAATTAAAATCGTGTAAAGCAAAACAGAGAGAAACAAAAAAATAAAGCACCGTGTTTTTTTGTTTTGAATCGCAAGTTTCCGGTTAGAGCACCTGTGTTACAAATCTATTTTTCCTTCTTATATTTTAAGGTAAAATTATCCACTTATACGCACTTAATTAAAAAAAATTCCATCTAAAGTTACAACTGATTTTGATTAATGACTTTGCTAGGAAGAATATAATTAAAACGAACATACCTTCTCTGTTTGTGCGCCGTCAAAATGAAAAGATAGAAATCCACTTAAATTGCTACCGTGTTACTATAATACACAATTATTGTAGCACCACAGCAAACAAATTAAGAACAATCAACGTTCTACTTTACAAGGCTAACTTTGCGTTAGAATTTTCAACAGGCAACCAACATTTAATTCTTTAAGGCGAAGACCTTCTTTTTGGGGGCCGAAAATTAAAATCATTTTTTTTTCTAAAATAGTATATAGACTCGTTACAAAAAAAAACACGCAATAAAAAAGGTTGTTTAAAAATGCTTTGAATGTTTGACAACAGTACCCCATTTCAAAGGAAGGTCCCTATAAAAGCTCGTTCAAAATACTGTTGCAAGAAAATGTACATTTGCGTAAAGTAATGAAATGGTTAAAAGCTTATTATCATCGGTTCGGGGCGTCAAGACAAGGTTGCGACGAATTTTTTCATTTGCAATTTCAACTCTGGTTGATTGTGCGGAAGGATGACAGCGTCTGCCTCTGCTGCTGTTGTTGCTGCTGTTGCTGAGTGACCATGGTCACTGATCGCTCAACTCGCTGCGTCGACTGCTGCATCATTTGCATCATTTTTTCTTCAGTTCCAATTCTTTGATTACTCGTAGATACCTAAAACAGGAAGAATTTTACATATTTTAAAAAGCACATTCAGTTTAATTTTTGCCATAAATTAAAAGAAAACCATGTCGTTGTTGAAAAATTTTTCCTATTAAAAATTAATTTTTTAAACATACCCAAGATTGTGTTAAAATTTAATTCTATTTAGCGGAAATAACTAAAAATTTACAAATATTTCTATTATTGAAGGTTAAAATGCAAGGTTGAAATTACCTCGCTGGTGTGGTAGCTCTGGTTGTCCATGTGCTGCTGCTGCATTGAGGAGCGCATGGGCGTTCCAAAGGTGCTCATGGTCCCATTGCTGTGCGAGTAATTGGCTGTGCCGTTGTTGTAGTGCGCTTGTGGCTGTGCAGGTGAGGGGACAGCATTCGGTGGCTGCTGATTGCCAGGTTTCTGGGGCGTGCTCGCGTACATCTGGTGGCTCGGGCTTTGGCTCTGATCGAATGTGCGCGTTTCGTAACGACTAAAAATTAACCAAAACAAAGCGGTGCGTTTAAATTTTGGTAGAAATTAATTAAAAAGCTCTACAAAGAGTTACAAAATTATACAAATATTCAGATTTCTTTCCAAAATTCATAATAATTACCTGGTGAAGGATTCATATCCGCTTCCGTATCCTCCTTCGTCGCCAGTGTCATCTCCAGATCCAGCTCCGGGTGCGCGAATTTTGTACCTGGCCTGTCTAACCGCAGTCAGTCGGCCTCGTGCTTCCTCCAGCTCCTTTTCAATTCTATTGAAATAAATTTAATAAATATTTATAATATTTCCATTTGATGAACAGGCTTAATCAAATCAGTTAATAAAACACAAGAAAAGTTAAAACATTCAGCGTTTTAAATTTTGATACTAATTTTAGTTTTTATTAAATGTTTGTATTAATATTTATTTAGAAATAAAATAATAATTTTAATGCTTTAATTTTTTTATAAAATTTTAATAAAATTAAATATTAATTTTTTTTTTAATTTCATACATATTTTATTTATCTTAAATAATAACTACCATGATCCACGAATTATATTGAAATATTATTTGTTAAACAATTCTATGAATTAAAATTGATAGAAATTAAAAAAATATATATAATTTTTAATATGATTTTAATGACAAACCTTAAAACTTCGCTCCTCGCGTTGATTTCCTGAGCCATTCCACCGACCATGCGTCTGTTGAGCACCAACGAGCGCTCTTCCTCCTGCGCGGCCGCCTGTTGCGCGGCGCGCACCAAGTTGTCCGTGGCCCTCTTGACGGCGTTGCCGGCCGCCTGCAGCCTCTTGGTGGAGGCGCTGTCAGGGTCAGCCTTGACCTTGCAGGCCACCAGCAGCTGGGCTGTGGAGGAGGCAACCTGCTTGGCCGCTGAGATGAGTTTCTCCTCACCAGAGACGCCTTGGACGAGGCCGTTGGCGCTCTCGACCAAGCTGTGTGTGGCGGCGGCCACAAGGCGGGCGGCCGAAATCAGGCCCTCGGACCACTGGCCGTCGTCAGAATTGCAAAGGGGACGCCGACTGACCTGTTAAAATAAAAATTAATTTTTAATTTCTAGTTTTCTATTTCTTTCTAACTAAAATCTAACAATAAATTGAACTGGTTTACCTTAAAATTTAAAGAAACGTTGTCAAAAACCATAATTAAGTATGAGAGAAATTAATTTGTTCTCTACCGAAGACGAGGTTTCAAAAGTATATAACAGGTCTCCTGACCAATTGGAAATATGTTTTGCAAACGGTGCAATTTTGTTGCAAGCGCAAGAAATTTTTCAATTTGCTTACCTTGCCCTGGTCAATGAGCTCTCTCTGAGCGGCAGAGGCGGCTTTCACAAGAGCCGAAGTGGCTGCGGCGATGGATTTCGCGGCCTCCAAAATCATCTCATCAAAGTTCAAGCTTTCATCAGCCTCCTAAAATCAATGAGAAATAAAAATTTTAATCTTTTCTCCATGAGAAAAAAAATAGATACACATTTTCATTTTCACATACAATGAATGGCGAAAATTTGACAGAATCGGATGTGACAAAATTTCTGGGCTTGTATCTCGCGCATAATTTAAAGTGGACTGAGCATTCAGATTATGTAGTTGGAAAATTAAATAGTGCTGTATTTTTAATTAACAACTTGATGCATTCCGTTGATGAGAAATACTTGAAAATGGTTTATTATGCTTACTGTCATTCGATCATAAGTTACGGCATTGTAATTTGGGGAGGGTCGAATCGAGCGTTGGATGAGGTTTTTCTGGCGCAGAAAAAAGTGGTGAGAGCTCTTGCGGGTGAGCGCTATTGGCGCAGTACGGAGCCGCTTTGTTCTGCGAAGCCACTTTTCGCTCGGTTCGGCTTCCTTCCAATATTTTCAATTTACCTTTTTGAATCTTGCAAGTTTGTTCGTAAATATCCGCATTATTTTAAAAAGACAAGTGAAGTTCATGATCACCAGACAAGGGCTAAGAGCGATTTGTATGTTCCGGCCCAGGCTTTGTTAATTTCCAACCAAAACCCTTTGACTTGCATGTCTTCTTTGTATAACAAGTTGCCTGTTTCGGTTCGTTTGGAGCCTCGGTATAAGGTTTTTGAAACCAGTTTAAGGCGTTTTGTTCATGTGCATAAATTTTATGATAGGAAAGAGTTCTTTCAATTTATGAATGCATTGTGATATTGTTTTTTTTCTCTCTTATCATGTACTATGTTGCAAATGGGGCGCGTCGCATTGAGTAATTCCATCGTGGCGACGTCTCATAAGTCAATAAAGAAGAATAATAATAATAATAATATTTGATAGCTCCATTGGAAAGTATACAAAACATTCCTGGAAATTTCACTTTTAATTATTTCATAGATTTAAAATTTATTGCAAGCATAACAATTATTCATAAAAGTGATAAACAGATAGTTTACAAGATATAGCAAACAATTTTACCTTTCCATTATATTTTATTTTCTACGTGCAAATGTTTATAAAAGATATTCTCAATTTTAAGTTCCAGATTTGTAATTTTTTAACAACTATTGAAGCCAATACCGTACACAGTGTCACCTTTTCAAATTACAAAAACCCTTTACAAGAACATACAAAATACAAACAAAGTTTCCGAAAAGAGCCAATGTGAAGTCTGCGCTGTCGCAAAAAATAGTGCGAGTGAGAGAACACCAGGGATGATTTTTGGAGAAGTCCCCGGATGAGAGTGCCGAGCGCACCGTAATAATATGTTTGATTCCTGGTTGCATCAAAGTCCAACCAAGAATATCAAACATATCTTACGGGGCACGGCAAGAGTTGCATGTAGAAGCCGCCACAGAAAAAGCGTGTGTCGCGCCGGAACTTCCGTCCAGCCAACCCCGAACCAACCACCGAAATTACAGTTTATTGCATCACACAAAGAAAAGAGACGAACACAGAAAACGGGCAGAAACGTACCTGGACAGAGCGGCGTGGACGAAGACTGGCCAGCTTTTTGGCTGCGGCGTCGATCGACGCAGCGGCGCCCAGCAATTCATTCTCAGCAATGACGGTCGGGTCATCAGGGTCTTCCATGTCAGTGCCTGGAATCCAAGTTATAAAAAATTGTCATTCCCATTTAAATATAAATTTAAATTATTTAAAACTATTTTACTTTAATATTTGAAGAATTTTTTAAATAATGATTAAATTGTACCTTTGAGGATCTCGGCTGCAGCAACAAGCTCAGTGACGCTCTGGGCAATCCTCCTGGAAATGGTCGCCATGTTGTGCTTCAACTCGGCAGCGGCTCCGGGCCTTTCAAGGACGGTCAGGACGACCTGCAGAAGCTCCCTGTATTGAGTGGACACGTTGAATCCTGCTTCAATGGTTCTCAGGCGCAGCTCCTTGCTGTCAGCCATGAATGCCGCAGCCTAAAAAAAAATCGCATTTTTGGTAAATTTATTTTTTATATTAATTATTAATTAATATTAATTTTTAATATTTATTTCACATATTTATTTCACCTTGCAAATGGTCAGCATGTCTGAAATGGCCTTGCGTCCCATGTTGGCAGCAACAATGATGTCGTCCTGCTTGCCACTGTTTCCAGCAGCAACGGCCTTGGCAGTGGCCTGGGTGATCGGTTTGGCGCAGCGCACCAAATCCTCAGGGCTCACCTTGATCTTGGGCTGCTCACTGGATTGCAGGGCCTATGAACAAGATTTGTAAAAATCCCAATTAAATTAAGAAATAAATAAAAGCTTTTTTTTTAATTCAGAAATAGAATTATTTTGAATTTTATTTCAAAACAAGCAAAAATTACCCTGATTTCTTGAGCGATGGCCTCGATGGTTGCTTCAAGAGCTCTGGTGCCACGGCTGTGCTCATCTTCGACGGCCTTGACTGTTTTCAGCAGGGAAGTTACGTTGGTGACCATGACCTGAGAATTTTGAGCAACCGGTCAAATTTCCGCCCTGTCAAGTTTTCAACAAAAATATGCAGGCAATTTTTCCATTGGAACATTGCATTCTACTCAAAAAATTACAACAAAGGCAAAAATATCCAAATTCACTAAAAAGGGAAATTTTAGTAAATTAGTGGTTTTAATTGAAAGGGCGAGGAGGAAGGGACAAACAGCAGCCGCAGACAAAGATCTTACAAGCTCCAACAAGCTCCTGAAATTTTGATTTAGACACATGTGTGTATTATTGACGCATAATTTGATTTTGGTGGTGGAGACTCCTCCTTTCTTTTGAAGTTTTATTTAAATCGACAAATTTTTTTAAAAGAAAATTTTAATAGAATTGAATTTTAAGTGCGGGAGGTCAGTTTAAACTATCAAACCATGCTAATGAGTATTATTAGTCATAGAACTTTTGCCTATAGGTCGACAGAGATACATACCTCACTGCAAACGAAATTGGAGCTTGGAGGGATTAGTCAAATTTATCACAATCGACTCTGTCTTAGGGAGAAGAATTTCACCAAATAAAGGGTTGTACTTTGATATACACGTTTTATTTATTGTTCGAAATAAGAAAGATAAAAATTTACAATAATAGCAATAGTTAGAGTTTATTTGAGACAATTTAGTATCATTTTTACGAAGATAAAACTATGACTTTGGGTTATTTGGAATTAAAATCAAAATAAATAACGAGTAAGACTGAGTAAAATAATTTAAAAGTGACGCTCCACAGCACTTTCATAAAATAATAACCATCATGCCAAAAGAAATAAAAACTTCTTAATTTTTAATGATATGTCAAGTCTATCGAAAGGAAAAAAGAATTTTTGCCTCGGGGTTAGTGCTCTGAAAAGTTGGGTTAGAGAAATGATTAGTTTGCGGAAGGAGGACAAGAGATTAGTTTGCAAGAAGTTGCTGGATGTCGTCGGTGGGGCCGAGACTCGCTGTCTCTCCTTGTTCAGCGCCTAAGAGTCGAATAAGTTCATCTTCTTGGTCGGAAACGAACCAGTCTGCTGGTTCGCAATCAGATTGGGTGTCCACCACCTAATTAATAATTGCAAATCACCCATTACTCTCCGAAAAGAAGCAGAACCATGCTTTGTTTTATTTATTCCAAATTGATTTTCCGTTTAAAAATAAATTTTCTCCTGACAGGATCAGCGGGACTGAATTTTACAATGGGAACTGGAAAGTCAGTGCGCTCTCAGTTAGAAATTGTTAGCAACCGCGGCCCAAAAACTTTCAATTCCGAAGGTGGTGTTTCGGATCGCCTACCTTTGCCGAATCCTTCAGGTGGTTCATGGACGGGTCGGTTATGGACTTGCCAGAGGCCGCTTTGGTGGCCTGAATCAAGTCTCCCAAAGCAGAAGCCACGTCTTTGACCGCATTAATCAGCATCACCTGCACCAAAAGAGATGCCAAAATTCAAGAAAATTCGCAAGAAAGAAAAAGCCTCAAAATTCTACTTAAACTAAAATAAAAATTGTATTTACCTGAGCCTCAGGGTTGTTTGAGCCAAGAGAGGCAGCTCCAAACTTGACAACTTCGGCCAGTTGGACGATGGTGGTGACCGCATTCTGGGCGGCGACGGCCAACTGTTCTTGAGATGAGGCAGCACCAGCGACCAAGGTCTTGGTGTCCTCAACAAGGGCCTTTGCCGTCTTCAGGATTTGCTCCCTGTGGTCAGCAAAGGTCTCGTTTTCACCTTCGGCGTGCAGAGTTCCAGCGGTGGCAAACATGATGGTCGTGTCCAGGTCTCCAATGATACCAGACACGGTGGATGCGGCGTTGATGCACGCCTGTGTTCCTCGGGAGCCAGCCTGAAGGGCGGCCAAGACCTGAGAGACCTTTTCGGACACACTCCTGCCCGATTCGGCAACTTCGCGTTGGGCAAAGGAATCGCCGGGCTGGCAGTTTCCACCGCAGCGGACAAGGTCAATGCACGCCTGTCCCAAATCATGGACGCCGGAGGTCAGGCGTTGGGCCACGTCAGGGTTGGTGGTGGCTGAAGCGGCGCCGCCGGCGTCAGCGGCCAGCTGGGCGTACTGTCTGGAAAGTTCTCCGCCCAGAGGGGCGAGTCTGGCAGTGTCGGAGGTGCCGGCCTTGCCGACCATCTCCTGCGAAATTCTGGCCAGTTCCTTGGCGCAGGTGACCATCCTCGTCTGGTAGTCGACGAAGCTCAAGTTGGTCTCCATGTGCGTGACTCTGCGGTCGGTGATGCGCGCCATCGAGCGAGAAATGGACTCGACGATTCCTGTGACGATTCCGGCCTGGGTGGCCAGTTTCTCAAGAGAACTGCCCAAATCTTGCAGAGCCTCTTTGGTGGCGTCGCAGGCTTCATCAATGTCAGGATGGATTTTCAATGCCTGGAAAAATTTAAATAATTTTAATGTTTAAAAAATTTTCAAATTAAATTGCGAGTTTTTACCTTTGGATTGCCGCCGCCTTCCTTGGTAGCGAAGACAAGCTGCAGAATGCTTTCAGCCACAGACTTGGTCTGATCGAGGAGCACCATCTGCTGCTTCGAGTGGGTCATGTTGGAAGCGGCTCCAATCGAGCCGTTGACCAGAGGCTCCAGGTAGTTTGCAACCTGGTTGACGGAGTGGCCAATTTTCTCAGCCTCGAACTTGGCTGCGCCCCTGAGAGGCTCCAGACGATCAAGAATTTCGCTTGCTGAGGCTTCGGTTTGCTCTCTGTAAATATAATTTTTTTAAACAATTATTTTTTATTTGTTCCAAACACACAATGTGGAATGAATTAAACATAGAAATTATATAATAATTTTGAGGAAAAAAATTATGCCTCATGAATTCAATTTAATTCTAGTTGAATTAAAGGAGTCAATTTTATATAACTGTATTGATATTTCCAATGTGGATTTAAATTTCCCACAATTTGTAGAAGAAAAAAATATATCAATCTTAAAAATTTAAAGGGCAAATGAATTAAATGCAAATTTTCCTTTAAAATTTTGGCATTAAAAACTACGTTTTTAATATTTTACCTGTATTTTTGTGCAGGGAGTTCCTTCCTTGGCCTCAGGCCTTGAGAGACAGCGTCCAGAGAGGCTTGGTCCAAATCTCTGATCTTGCCGTTGATAATTTCAATGGCCATGTCACACTCCTTCTGACCAGGAGCCTTGTCTCTGATGGAGGAAACCAGTCTCTTGATCGAGTCAGACACGGACTTGCTGTGATTTGCCAAGATCTGCCAGGTCGGTGGGTCTCGCGGGTTGACAGCGAGAGACTTGGCGGCGCCGATCATAGCGCAGGAGCCATCAATAATCGACCTTCCAGCTTGGGTGATGGGCTGTTGGGACCTTCTGGCCTCTTCGGAGATGCGTCCAGGAACAGAGGCAAACTCGGAAGAACTGGCGAATGTGCAGAGACTGTCCACAGCTTCCAGCAACGGTTGAGTGGCCGCGGCGCACCTCTCCCTGTTGGCAGGGCTGTAGTCCCTGTCCAGAGCTTTGATTTCTTTGACGAGATTTGCAGTGGAGTTGGCCACATCCTTGGCGGACTGGACGAAGTGTCTCTTGGCCACTGGGTTGTGAGTCTGAGCGGAGGCGATGCGGCAGGCGTTGCACAGGGCGCTGGTGTGTTTGGCGATGACAGTGGCGGCGGAAAGAACTTGCTGCTGTGAGCTGGATGGGTTGGCCAGATTCTGGCAGGCGGTGTTGATGGCGTGTGAGGCGCGACTGCACATGGCCTGGTCGATCAGACCTGGACGTCCGGCTGTGCTGGACGGGTCGGAAACGGCCACCAGAAAGGCAGACTGGGACGCAGCTTCAACCAGACCGCAGATGGCGGCACTGGTGTTGCGAACCGAGTTGGCGAATTCGTGGTGCTGTCCTTTCTTGGCGTGGTTGGCGATGCCGGTCATGCCGTCGCCAAGGCTCTTGCTTTTTTCCATGACCGAGTCCAAGCACTCGAAGTATGTGGCCTCGCTGACTGGCTCGCTGGGGTTGTCCAGCAGTGGCTTCATGGCCTGGATGTTCCTTAGGGCGTTGTCGCACTCCTTCTGGCCAGGGGCGGACTGAGTGCAGACATCAATCAGGTCGTTGATGCTGTCTGTGACGGCACGGGCGGCGCCAGAGAGCTTGTTCTTGGCGTTGGGGGCGGTTGGGTCAGCGGCAACAGACTTGGCGGTCACCAAGAGGCTGGAAGAAGTCAGAGAAATGCTTCTCAGGGACATGATCATGTGGCTCCTGGTCTCAGTCTCCTGAAATTAAAAAAAAATATTTATTTAAAAATTTTCGATATACAAATTTGTTCCATTTCAGAAGCATAAATTATTGTTTTTTTTAAATATATAAATTTTATAATAATTTATTTTAAATATTAAATAAAAATACTTACAGTGGTCTGTCCAGCCATTTCCATTGAAACGGTGAGCAGGTTGGTGAAGGCGTCTCCGAATTTCTTTGAAGAATTGGCCAATTCTCCAGCACTTCCGACGGAACCAGCAACATCAGTTGAGGCGTCATTCAAGTATGCAGCGGCAGTGTGCAGGTCTTGTGTTAGTTGACTGCAAACATTTTATTAGTTTCTTGCCACAAACCCAATTAATTTTATTTTACCCGTAGGACTTTGAAGTTGGAGGATATTCATTCATGGCCAAAATTTGTGAGGCTTCGTTGATGGTGTTGATGGCATCGTCGACCTCCTTCTGAGAAGGCAGGCAGTTGATTGTGTCCTCAATGGACTGCTGGACCCTCTTGCCACACTGGCTTAGTGTTCTCATGTCGTATTTGTCACGACCTTCAACCACCGCCTTTCTGGCCTCGTCCAAGAACAGCAGAGACCTTTCCATCACCTCCTCGGCGTTCAAAATAATCCTTCGGAAGATAAATAAAAATAAGTAAAAAAGCAAGGATGAAATCAAAATATTTTACTTTGTCTGCATAGCTTTGTCATTTGTGGTGGCAGCAACTCCCCTAACTGAGTTGGTGAAGTCGCTCAAAGCAGCAGCAGTGGCGCGTGCTTCGCGTCCAGTGTAATTTTCATTACCCTGAGCAGCGGCAGAAGCCAACTTGGCCATGGAAGCGACAACAGTTTGGGCGGAACTGCCCAACTGAAGTGACGAGGCGTCAGCCTATTTTAAATAAAACGATAAAATTTCAAACTTTATTTGCAAAATGAAATAATAAATTACATTGTCGCCCGGAAGAGGTCTGAGCTGAGAAATCTGCGCCTGTCTCTCGAAAGCGGCCAGTTCCTCTCGCATTCCAGCGACGAGCCTCTCGGCGCTCTCGAGCTCCAATTCAGGGCCGCAGGCTTCTCTGGCCCTGGCGGCGGCAGATCTGAGGTCGCCCAGAGCTGAAGCGAGTTGCTGAGAGCTCTGGCTGAGGGCCGTGGAAGACGCCTGGTCAGATACCGTGGGCAGCGCCGACCTGGCGTACTGCACGACCCTGCTTCCGGGTTGAAGAATGGACTCGCTGGTCTCAATCAGGGTCAATTGAGCCTCCGGATCTTCAGGTCTGGAAGAGGTGTTTTTGATGCTCTCAACCAATTTGGGCACCTGATCGGCGAGTTGTCTGCACTCGGCCAGGAGGTGCTGGTGATTGACTTGGTTCGTGTTGTACGCAAGGGAGCCCTGGGCAGAGGACATGGTTTGGGTGGCACAGCTAGCAACTTGTTTGGCAGAATTCTGAAATAAAAATATTATTTTTAAATAAATAACCATGATTAAATTTTAATAAAAAATCACCTCAAGTCTGTTGATGATGCGCGCACGCATGGCAGGTGTGGAAGCGTTGGTTGTTGCAGCCCTGATCTCCTCAGCGGCGTGTCTCAGGGCGTCCTGGTGAGTGGCGTCATGAGGCGAGGAAGCGCAAAGTCTGGCAGCTTCGACCATGCGGGCAGTGGCGTCAGCAAGAGTTTTGGCAGCAGAAAGCAAACGCCGCTGGACCTCAGTGTCCTGCTGGACGTCGGCCTCGCCCTTGATGGCCTGGATGAGCTGAGCGGTGGCGCGGCCCAAAATGCGCGCCTGACGCACCATTTCGCCCGAGTCACCAGAAACCGCCATCATTCGGTCAGTGGTCACCATGATGGTTTCAACAGCATCTTCGTGCATGTTTTCTCTGCCACGCTCATTTACGGTGAACCTAAAAAAGGAAAAATTGGAATTAAGAGATTATTTCAAAGGCTTTGGAAAAATTACTTGATGTGGTGGAGAAGGTCATTGAGGGACCTGGTGACTTCGGCAACGGCACCGTTCAGGTCACCCATCAGTTTCTGCTCAGGTTGAGCTTCTTGGCAAACAGAGACCAGTTGTTCAACTGCCCGAGCAACTTCTCGGACTGCACCGACCAACTGCTCTTGACAAGCAGCGTTTTGCAGAGTAGGAGCCACAACCTGATGATTTTGTTTTAGAATTAATTTTAACACTGAGAAATGTATGATTTTAGTACCTTAGCGCAGGCAACCAGTTGTGAGGTGGCCAAAGCGCATTGGGTGGCGGCGCCGATGACTTGGTTTTGGGTGTTTTGGTCGTCGCAGGCGGCAGCGATGTTCTTGGCTTTCAGCACCAAAGCTGCGGTAGTGTTGGCAACGGCCTTGGCCAGGCCAAGGAGCATCTCCTGCAGCTCTCGACTGCTGTCATCCTCTTCTCCGATGGAAGCCAAAACGGCGTGCGAGGCTTCACCAACTCTGCCAGCAGCGTTCAACAAGCTTTGGCGTGGCTAAAAATAAATGAATTGTACATTTAATCTTTAATTTTAATCATTTGCAGAAAATATTTCTTAACTTTACATTTTATTATTAAAGTAATTTTGAAATTTTAGATTATTGGAAATTTATGATAACAAATTTAAAAGAAAAAATTCACCTCCTTGGCTTCGGGCTCAGCAGCCTTCAGCATGTCACTAAAAGCAGTGCACAGTCTTCGGGCAGCATCAAGAAGTTTGTCCCCACCATCATCATCGTCAATGAGTGCAGCGATCATTCGCACTCCTCGGGTCATTTCAGGCAAGTTGCTGGTGATCGTGGAAATGGCAGCACCCACTGCATTATGGTCCACGTCCTCGCTGGGCCCTGAGGTCAGGGTGACGACCTGAGCAGTGGCCGCATTCATGGCCGCGATTTGAGACGTGACGCTCTGCTTGTTGGTGTCCAACGTCGTCTCCTTCCATTTAATGGAAGCCTGTGCCCAACGACGTTATTATTGTGTTTTAATTTATTTTTAAATTTAAAATCGTACAGGATCATTTCCGAGCTTAGGTAGCTGAGCTTTGGTCTGCAGCTCGTGCTCGGCAGCACTGATGGCGTCATGGCCAGCGTTGATGGTACCCAAGAGCGCCCTTTGAGGCTCGCTCATCACAGTTGTTACTTTTGTTTGTTGAACCTATGAATTTACAAGTTTAATAATGCATATACTTGTCTTAAAATTGATAAAAAAAGTCAGACAAGAAAAATAATTATTACTTATTTAGAGCAAAAAGCAACAAGAATGTTAAACAAATTGGAAGGTTACTTAAATAAGGGAACAGAATTTCTTTATTATATTTGAATATAATAAAAATATTTAATTAAAAATGACACATTAAACTCAATTATACATCTAATAGCATTCTCGACATGATCTGTCAAGAAGGCGCGTGCCCACTTGTTGTTCCACAAAAGATGAGACAGCACAAATATAAATTTACATTTTTGCACCTTTGTGATGTCAAATAAATTCATTTACAATATTTGAATTTAATGTGTTATTACTCTTATTTTTAAAATTTTAATAAAATAAAACTTTAAATTCCAAATAAAAAATATAGCAAATTTTATATTTTAAAAATATTTATAATCACTTTAATGTTAAAAAATTATGACATTTCATTGAATCGTCAATATTTTATTTTTTATAAATAAAATTAATAATATTGCAATTAATTATAATTGTTAAAATAATAACAAAATATAAATAATTTTAACGCCTAGTTTTTTTAAACAGGAATTGAATACCTACATGAATCCTTTCCATTGAAACTGCGGCAGCAGGAAAAGAAAAGAAAAACACGAGTTAGTCAAGTGTAAACAGACACCATAGAAAAGAGCGTAATGTGAAAATAAGCAACAACAGCAGCTCCTGCACCCGCGCTTTTATTTAGCAGCTAATGAGAGAAACAAGTTGTGTGTTAGTTGACACGTGAGAGTAGAGTTTAAGCATAGAGTGTTTTTAGCGGCAACAAGCAGTACAGGTCAATTGCCCACAGTGGTCTCCAGCTTACCATGGGCGCAGCCGAGTGCGAAATGTTGGCCTGGCCTGTGACTGTTGTGAACTGAGCACCTCCCATGTGGCCAGTGCCGTAGGGTCGAGCACCTGAAATGTCCCCTCAACTCTTACATCTGGTTTTATTTACAAAAAAAAAAAGAGAAACCCTCATACAAAAGCCTGACAATAACAGAATCAAAAGTTTAAATGTCGCTGAAAACGCTGTTTGTTACATTATGCAGAAAAGTGTATTAAAAGTTGGGGTGATAAATCTCGGCGGAGGAGAAGTTTGCTCGACACCATTTGTATGGTGAAATATGGCTCTTTTAAATTGTAAAACTTTTAACTCACCATCAGCACCTGCTCTCATAATTGCAGGCTTCGCCAGCGACTCGGTATTGACTTTGCCGACTTTGCTCGTCTCATGCTGCAGGATGGTGGCTCTGAAAAGTCACTTGTCAGTTGCCGGAGCAATTCGAATTGATCAAACGTACTTGTAAGGCGCCACGCTGTCCTCCACCATGGTCGATCCCTCGTCGCCTTCAATTCCAAAATGATCTTTTGATTGTTTCTAGAAAGTGGGATTAAATTATAAGTTTGTGTACAAAATTTATGAATTTTATTAAAAAGTATGAACTCATTAAAAATAATTTCTTTTCGATTAAATAAAATTAATTAAAAGAGTCCAAATTTTTAGGAAAGTATTTTGTGTAAAAATGAAAAAAATACCTTTTTCAAAATGATATCGATGTACCCTGATATGAGTTGCAGAATCTGCTCTGCTTCCGTGGTTTGGACGGAGTAATATTGGTCGGAATAGTCACCAAAGTCAAGGGTGAAAGTGTTTGGCGAGGCACCCCAACGGCGCACTGTGGTCAGTGGCCAAGTTTTCAAAATTTCCTTTGTACGCTCATCCAGGCGCAGGACGGAGTCTTTCGTAACTCCCAAAAGTCGCGGCACCAGCTTATTCTTGCCCTTCATTTTTTCCTAAAATCGAATAAAAATTAAAATATTTTCTTTATTAGGAGTAAAAAATAAAATGACTAACTTTGACCAGGAAGAAGGTGACTCCGTACGTTTTCAAATCTCGAGCCGTTTTGGTGTAGAGGACCTTTGCGTCGAGCTCACTGTTTCCGATATGTCTGCGGTGTTCCGCGAATACCTTTTTCTCCACACTCTTTACTTTCACATAAGACTGTGGCAAAAATTCTTTCAAACTGAAAAGAAAAAAAAGCGTCAATAATATTTAAAAATTAATTCATGTGATTATTACTCTAAAAATCCTGGCTTGTGTTTGCTCTCGACGTAATCGCCGAACTGGATTTGGCATTGGATGCCGGCGAATTCGCACGCCTTGTCCAAAGTGACAGGGTGCGTGCCGTCCAGAATGGCGTCCCTGGCCTGAACGTAGAGCAGGTTCAGCTGGACAGGGTCTCTCGAGTCGATGTTCTGGTCGGAGAAGAAGAATTTGCGCCTCAACAGCACGGTTTCGGTCTCGTCGATGCCCTGCTCCCTCAGGGTCTTGGACGGGTCAATCCAGTTGACCTCGTCGTCCGTCTTCAGCTTTTTGCGCAGCTGCTCCATTTTGGCGTCGCGTTCGCGACCTTCCTCCTTGCGGCGCTTCAGGGTCAGGGTGCCGTAGTTGCCGGGCTTGTTTTCAAGCTCGTCCTCGGGCAAATCGCGCACCAAACTGTATTCATCGTGGTTTGTAATACCTATAAAATTTAAAATTAAAACCCGATTTTTTTTTAAATTTAATTTTCGGCTCGTTTATGATTAAATTTCACTGACCGATTTTCGTGCAGATGACCACCATCAAGTTGGCAACGGGTTGCGAGTCGTCGACCAACATGGTCTTGAGGGTTCCATCCAACATTCGCACTCGGAGCTGGCGGAGTTTCCTCTTGTACTCCAGCAGTTCCTAATGACGCAGAATTTCGTGATTAATTAGCCCGGCAGCTACATGCCGCATTATCTTACGCCTCCTTTGAGGATGTAGTAGTTGAGGCTGCGCCCAGGTTCGAGCCAGACACCCATTTTGGCATCTTCGTCGGCCAAGAACAGGCCATAGTCTTTAGCTGTGCAACGAAATCGTAGATTGAGTTTAATTTATTTATAACAGACTTCAAAAATTCATATTTTTCTTGGTTTTTTTTTCTACAAGAGCCAACAAATTAAACTAAATTTAATTTTAAATTAATTAATATTTATAAATATAACAAAAAACGTAAACACGTTATTTTAGCAAGAATTTTTATTGCAATTTAAGCAGATTGAGTTCAATTATTTTTCATCATAATTTACCGAATTGCCTAATAGACTGAATTACACCGACACAATTCTGGTATTTCAATGATTTATGAAACATGTAAATGGCAAAAATTTATAATTCATTGAAATTTAACAATATTTCATAAATTTGGCAATTATGTTCAATATAACTAATTAAACAATTACAACGCATAAAATGTCACAGTAAAAATGCACAAAGAAAGATTATTTTTCATTAAGAAATTAATACTTATATGCATAGTAAGGACAGATACAAAGCTATTAATTATTTCAATTTCAATGCTGCCTTAAAAAATTAAAATATCTTTATTTCTTGATATAATTCATTACTATAATTCAATTATTCGTTAAAAATATAAAAATTGTTTTAATAAAGAAAAATAACACTAACAAAAAAATAAAATAGTGTAATAATAAATTTTATCGTTTAAAATTAATAATAATAATGAATATATTCTTAATTATTATACAGATTGACTTACGTTGACCAAGATTGGCCTCGGTGATCTTCTCTCTGATTATTCTGCACGCGTCGTAGACGGTGGTGGCGGGCTCGAACTGCATTGTCTTGGTCACACCCTGCTCCACAATGGAGATCTTGAGCGAGAGGGTCGCCATGCCCTCGGTGATTTGCGGAGCGGCTTGTGTGGAACTCTTCTGCAAACAAACACGCAAAATCGAAACGTTAAAAAGAGGTAAAAAATAAAGTAAAAAAACACTGGCAAAAGGATTGAAAGGGTGCGATTGAATTTTTGCCCGGCGTGTTTATTGAGCGGGCCGCCGCGAGATGTATTGGCCTCGCAGTGTGTTCTGTTCCAACATATACGTGTAGAGAGACAGATGCGAATGCCGCTGCTGCTGGAGCGGTAATGTGCGGTTTATTGATTCGGCATACACGCAAATTGATTCCGAAAGCGGCGGCATTCATGCCACAGATGCAGCCGGCTGTTCGCTTTTTGGCGTTCGCCGGAGCAAACCGACCGACCGAAATTGCGCCGGCCAATCCAAATGCCAAATTAACGTTTGGTTTTTGGCTTTGATGGCTGGTTTGAATTATTGAGAGGCCGCGATGCTGCTGGAATATTCACGATTTAATCAAAAGCGCGGCCAACTTGATAATTTACACAGAAATTTAAAATATGTAAATAAACAAAATTCGAAAGAAAATTTATTTTTGATGGATTGGACCTTTTTGAGAGTTTCATGAATAAAAAAAATAATAATATAGAAGTCTCGCTAATAGTTTAAAAACCAATTTAGAATTAAATGAGCTATTTTTATTTTATTGTTTACAATTTTAAAATTTTTTGTGACAAAATGATTCCGATTGAGGTTTTTTTCTTGAACGAAAGATTATTTTTAAATTTATAACTGCTGTAATTGCAATATTTTAGACGTTTCTACTGGTTTTCACGGTGAATTACTGAAATTTGGCAAGAAAAAAGCTAGGCTTGAATTGGTTACTTTTAACATAGAAATTATTGTTTTAAAACAACAACTCCCAAAAATTAAAAACTTGAATAACAGAGCAACAAATATTTTATTAATTTGCATTGAATGCGTTCAAATAAATCGTTTGAGCCACAAGGAAAATTGTTTTCCGGATAAAAAAAAATCAGAACAAAACCCATTTTTAGGAAAATCCCTTTCGATCCGTTCGCTCGCGGCTGATAGCGCAGGTAATTTCGCTTATTGAAAGTCACAAGCGTGCTACACGTGGGGCGCACTGAGGGTACTTCAAAGGCGAACGGGCGCACAAAGTGGCCGAATTGGATTGGAGCGAGCAATAAACATACAAGCATCGGCTCGTGCACGTGTGTTGCCGGAATGTATTTTGCAAATTGCATGCACACGTAGCCATAGCGATTCAATTTGGCGCGGCTCGAGTCCATTTGCCGGGGCACAAAGAAGGTCAATATTTGCCGGTGGCGCGGGTCAACATACCCCGCAAGAAGGGTAACCCGATTCCGACGACGAGGATCGTGAGAAATTGTGCAGAATGTGCAGGAATGGGTGGCGCGGGCGCTGCACGAGCCGAAGATCGATTTTCGCAAAGAGCGAGTGAGTGACGAGCACTTTTTTTTCCCCATTATTTACTTTTCGAAACAAACGCCGCCGAAGAAGCCCAAAAATCCCACAACAATTACAATAAAAGCGCTTGTGGGAAATCAATTTCTGTCTCTCATTGATCGTTGCGTGATGCACCGTTGAGGGAGCACGTAAGTTTTTGCGGCTGTCGAAGGTTGGTGCATCCGCGTAAAATATCGCCTGTCGCTTTTAACAAGGGCCATTTTTCTCGCGCAAAAAATCGTTAGCTCCGTAAAAAAGAAGAAGATAATGCGCCAGAAGAACACAATCGCCATCCTCTGGCATCACCGAACAAGGAAATGAGTGATTTTTCAGCCAACACGCAAACACTAGAGAAGAGCGCTTTGAAAAGCTGGCAGACGAAGAAACCGCGATTGTTTCTTTTCAGAGCGATTAAAGTCGACTTTGACTGAATAAAAAATCTAAAATTGTTCCTATTATGTCAGTTCATTCTTGAAAAACACAAATAAATGGTCATAAAAAATGCAAAAAAGATATTTTATTGAAATAAGAGCAGATTTCAAAATTTTTATTAAATATCCTTTTTTCATTCATAATTTCTAGACATGAATAATCTCTAATCTCTTTCTCATCCGCGTAGAGTTGCAGTAAAAAAGCTACTTTTCTAATTAATAATTATAAATAATTTAATTCGCAGCAGATTCACAGTTCTTTAATATTTTTCATGATTAATACAATATGGAGAATAGTCTTGATTTACAATTGCGTTCAGGTTTCTTAAGATGAATTCTAATGACTCTGCATTTGTTAATTGATATAATTAGTGGAATCTAAAATAATTACACAAGGTATTCTTAAAAAGGTCTATTGTAGTAATTCCTATTGTAAAAATGTGGTAAAAATAATAAAAATAAAATATTTTTTAAAATTTTAAAATTAATTTTATTTTATAAAAGGAGAGGAAGTTGATAATTTTTAATTATTTAACTGATAAAATAATATAATATTTATCCATCTTTACTAGAAGTAATTATTTGCAATTAAAATTTTTTATTCATGATCAAAAGTACTTAATTGGAAGTCAAATATGGAGAGCCATTAAAAAGACCCATTATTTTAGAGACGTTGAAAATTTTTTCTGCCAAAATCATTACATGTTATTTGAATATGCGTGGAAAATCAGGGTCCGGTCGGCGGTGCGGGACGTCTTGGCCGCCCCCGACAGCTCATCAAAATGCAGCCGAGCTCTGAATATGCTGGTCTGATAAATAAATTGGATCAAATTGGAGCAGACAGGAGGCTGTTTTGGTGTCGTGGGCGGCTGGCGGGCGCATCACTTTAGCCGCTCGGTTAGCAGCGGCTCGAATGCCCCCATATTACACTGTGAGCGCAATTCCGTGCACTGCGAGGGATGATGGAGGCGCAGGGGGTGGCGGTTGCTATGGCATCGGGCGCGGATATATTCGAGTGTGTGACGGAACAGTCGCCAGTCAGGCGCCGGCCTCCGAGCCCTCAGCTCGCCACCCATTATCCCCATCGCTCCAAAGCTCGCTCGGCCCTCTAATAATTTTAACAAGCGTGCAATTAATACGGCACGAACCCTCTTCCGCCCCCAGCGTGGCGAATAATTTCCAAATTTTTGGCGTTCATCATAATTTGCGTGGGGTGCAATTTGGCACGGCGCTTTAACTTTTTGCCGATTTCCCCAGAGTGGCACCAATGCCCCGTGTGGATTTTTCGTATTTTTTTTAAGCTCACAGCAAATATTAACCGTTTAAAAATTTTCTCGCTTGTTTTTGTTAGATGCAATAAAAATCAACAATCTCATAAAATTTCCTCTTATTTTTGTTAAAGCCACATTAATTTGTAAGATAATAAATCCATCAAAAAAGATTATAAATAATTTACTGGTAGTTTAGATGAATTGTAATTCAATCAGTTCCATGTTCCACAATATTTCTTCATAAGATTTTATTAATTGGTAAATTCAATAATTAAGAATTTAATATATAAAATTCATAACAATCAAATGATAGAATACAATAAAGTAAATAAATAAAACTATAATTGAAGATTTAATTAATTGTATAAAAAATTATTTAATTTCAAATTGTTTACATAAATCTAATTTGTTAAATTTTAAAATTTTTGAAAAATTGCTTTTGAACAATTAGTTTATAGTGAACAAAACAAACTTGTAAAAACACATGTACACTCCACAAAGAGGAAAATAATTTACTACGGTCTGAGCTGTTTTGGTGCTGGCGAGGGCAAATTTTAATAAAATGTCAACACAATACCGTGGCACGTCGCGCGTGGCGGTACCATCGGAAAACGCTGCGGGAAAGTGCAAAGAGAATGTGCACGGCGAAACGAACGCTGGGAAGATTTTAATTATTTTGCCTCTGTCCCCGTTTGCGCGTGCTTTTGTCTGCCAGAGACGCGAATTAATTTCGTAATTTCACCCAAATCGGGCACGCAGGGCGGTTTAGCAAGACGTTTATTTAAATAAAGTCTCCGCCGAATATTTTAAAAATCTACTCCCTTTTCCGCAGAGTGCACAAGCTTGAAGGGAGATTTGGGGGGCTGCACCGAAAATTTAGTGAGCCCATTCATGTCCATCTTGATGGAAAAAGAGCTCGTCACCCGCGGCTTTTCTTAATCGGTGCAAAAAGTTGCGAGAAAATAAATATTCGAGAAGCTTTTTGCTCGGCCCACGCAATTAATCATTGCATTAAACCGGGGCGTGTGAAGAAGCAATTTTAATAAAACTCCACACTCTTCTTTCTTTCATTTTTTTTTTTTTATTTAAATTCGCCCGGGTTGTTGTTCGCGATAAAAAATACATCAACCTCGCGGCTGTTGCTTGAAAACAGCGCATTGATCGCGTGGCTACGAAATAAGTGAGGGTTGGTGTGATTGAAAATGTTTTGCGTTTCGAAGCGAGAATTAACCGCAGCCGAGTGCATCGTGCGGCGCCAATGAGCCGTACGAGAGTTCGCATCAAATTAAAGCGGCCAGTTCAAATTGATGTGATTGGGCAAAATGAAGTTGTATGTGGTCTTATGCAGCAATGATGCAAAATTTAATGCTGCAAAAAAGTAAAATACAAAGTGATGAGCCTAATTATTTTTAAAATTTAAATTATGCAATAACAAGTTATTAATTATTATATACGGTTTAAAGTTGCTTTAAAAAACTGTTATTAAAATTTTTATATCAAATATTAGTATTTTTTTTATTACAATTGTGAGTGTGTGTGTGTGTAATATTACAAAAAATAATTTAACATTTTTACTAAATATTATATAATTTGCTGAACATACTCATAAAGTATCTGAATGGAGAATAAATAAATGAACTCATCACACTTATTCTACAATTACTTGTTCTTCAACCTCTGCAGTCTGCAGTAAGAGTCATAATTATAATAATTCAGAAAAACTAAATCAAAATCCATCAATAATCGTCGCCACCACCCAAAAGTATTAACAATGAAGAATAGGCAGTGATACCAATTTTAAATTTAACTTATTATTTAGGGCTGAAAAGAAAAAATAATGAAATTTTAATTAATTGTATTGATAGGAATGATGGGAATTGGTGGA